TATACGGATTCCCGCTAGTTTATATTAGACTGGACAACGGCCGAGAGTAGAAGGGTGAGCCTCAATGACAGTTAAGGCAAGAGGGAGATCGATTGCAAGTCGTTTTAAGAATGGGTCATCGGCCACCTCAGACTGGGCATTCGGGACCGATAGATCTGCAATATTTTGCGGATGGCCAAAATCGCCAGCAATTTCTACACTGTTGTGGAGTAGGGATCACCTTTCGAACTTGTATCCTATTGTCCTGCTAGTATAAACTGAGGATGGGAGTTCTCGGCTGTCAAAAGTTAATCGAGGCCACAGTGCTAGGGTATAGTCTCCGCCACGGGCAGGAAGAAACGTAAGTGTCTACCTTGAGGATTGGGAGATCTTGCGAGTTCCTGCTGTTCTGATTGTCGGTATGCACTCGTCTCTGAAATTTGTTGAAACTATGGTTTGGGGCAGAATAAACGGTACCACTACACAAGAATTGAAGGGAATGATGTTTTTCAAGGGTGACAGGAACAGTTCTATTGGGAAAGACGAGGTGAGCTCACGAGCCTGTGGGTGCATCTGTACGGTAAGATGCGCCGTACCGCACTCTTAAGAGCATGAAAAGAAATTTCTTTACCAACATGGCGTAGGAGTGCCTTGCCAATTCTATGGTCAGAATGATAGGCAGTAGAGGAAGTTGGTCGTAAGTGAAGAATTGAGCCACTAGGTCTGTCTGAAAACTGAGCGTGGATAAGGTTGTGAAGGACGTGTCGATCGTTTCTGAGAAGATCGAGAAGGTGAAGGTGGAGAAGTTTCATCAGCAGGTAATTGTCGTTTGACGTTTGGCGTGGGACCGAGTTGGTCCGAGTTTGGAAGGCGTCGGCGATTTGAAAATTGCCGCACCGTAGAGGGATGAGGCCGGAAACATAGTCAGAGCGAGAGCGAGGTCTGATAAATCGAAGGAGTCCAGTCGAGGCCTCAGTTCCTTGATGCGGGTGAGGAAACAGCTCGGCAATAGTTACAGAGGCAGGAGGAATGTCTGAAGAGTGGTCCTAAGACGAGGCGGGTCAGAACGGGCGGCGGTATCAAGAAGGGGCCCGGGTCGGGTACAGGTTCATGGAATATAGGGCTGCTATGGTTAGGTTAATTTCTTTCTTTTTGTTTTTAGAAAAAAAAAGAAAGAGAAAAAGAAAATAAAAAAAGAAAAAAAAAGGGGGGACCGGGGGGAGGGATAGTTTCCTAGGGGAGGAATGAAAGGGCCAGAAATCTCCCTCCGCGCCCAAGAGACTCGACCCCGATATAGAGCAGATGCAGGCATGGAACACGTGCCCATACCTACCCTTCATGCCAGTAAACCAGCAAATCTGGGATGCAACCTCACATCTGCCGAGTACCTCGGTGGACAAATGGCGAGGGCGGGCCGGATATCCTCCACATAGCATACATCTTCAGCCACCACCACCGGAATCCGAAAGGTGGCTTCCAGAGATACACCCGCTCGCCCAAAAGACACCCAAAGCTATCCGGTATAATCGGAGAGGGATCGGGACATCCCCGTAGGCAATCCAGATTCCGGCAAACTACGCCACCGCTCTAAGAAACCTAACGGTATGGGAAGGGACCCCGGTTGTCCATTTCCCCCTACCTAGGAACTAGCGCGCACTGTGGGGAGCAATCCAAAGAGGCAAAAGAGGAAAGGGCAAAAGGGGAGGAGTGGGAGGTGGAGGAGGAAAGGAAAAAGGGGAGGATGGGGAGGATGGGATAGGGGAGGGGAGATTGGGGGGTAATTAGGTTCGGTCTGAGGAAGAAGACCGATAGGTCTAATTCCTCAGACCAAGAGCCTCTTCACCACGCCAAGGAGCCCCCCTTGAAGAGGCTACCATGGAAAACTTATCAATTATTCACACTGGCAGGTATTCTCATGACAACTTTGGTTATGAATATGGCACTGTAAACCTGCCCTGGCAGTTTTCAGAAAATACCAATTACAGGTACTGCTCACCTTACATTACTTTTACTTCACAATGGTGCAAAAGCGATTACTCTGGAGATGAAAATTACCCAGCATGAAGGTGGCAAGTCTATAACTTGCATTCATTTACTTTTCAGTACTGGTATTTACAGTAATTGTTCATTTATTCACCAACTAGTTACTCATTTCTTTAGCATACTGTATATCCATATTCTACTTGCGATGGGTTCATTGGAATGTAACCCCATGTAAGTCGAGGAGTACCTGTATTACATAACTGAGGCGGTCATACAGTGCCTAATTAAAAAAAATGGATTATAGGTCCAATTCTTTAGATCAAGAGTCCCTCACCAGCACCTAGGGACCTTCCTTAACAGGTAAAAGTACCAATTACACTATTTAATGCTTACACAAATTTCTTCTAAAAATTGTAAATCGACACAAATTTTCTTTTAACTGCTAGTCACATTCCCTGACAAATTATATGCTAAAACCTCTACACTCATTACAGTACATGGCAATTCTAAACCTGTAGGCCATGCAGTACTTGTGTGGCTGACTACAGCCAAAATGGCAAATATGAAATACTCATTACACTATTGCAATCTGTAATAGCTGAATTTTTATTTCATACATTAAAACATTGTGTATCATTTTATTCACCTCATCCATTCCATCCCCAATTGATGACATTCTTCCTATCATTTCCCTTTAATTCCTTTATATCTGACTACCCATCTCTGTAAAACAGTAGGGTACATATATATTCTCACCTTGTTCCTCTTATCATTTTCTAATGAACATCAATGCATTTGTTTCCATGACCTACACATCCACCCCTTACCACTAGTAGCAACAACTGTTCTGGCCTAATGTTAGTACCCAAAGTGGCAGAAGCTTTATCCACTAATTTTACTCAAAGATGCATGACAGTATTGTCTGTTGGGTGTAGTAAGCATTTTCTCCATCACAAAACCATTGTGAAAATGTTTGCAGATTTAGTTTTCCGTGTATCATGCTATCAGAATAACAGCCGGAGCCCATTCCAGAAAAGAATTTGGACCTATGAATGTACAGGGTACACAACAGTAATGATACAGCTGAAAATGATCTGTAGGACTGGGAATGAAAGGGGAAAAATAAACCACAAGGAATTGAAGGGAAAAAAACAGAAATGGAAGAACTGTGTACTTTACAGATCCTAGAGACTTGGAGGTTAGGAAGGAAACCCAAATAAACACTCGCTCAGCAGGTTGACAGCTGCACTGTACATTCCACCTCCAGAACTCAGTTCAGCTAACCAGTTTCACTGAATGCATTCACATTACCTTCATGTGTCAAATTTCCAAAACCACTTCCCTCTATTCATCCACTTGTGCAGATTACACACTTGCTGGATACTCAAAACCCTAACTAAAACCTTCACCCACTCCATCCAACTGTTCATGGAATGACTCATCCACCCTGAATTTATACACCCTCTTAGTCACTATTCTCCACCCTCTGAATTATATCTTTCATATACACCACCACCTAATTTCTATACTCCATATACTCCATAATGTTCACACACAATCTCAAAACATGACATCACCACTGCCCTTAGCCAAACCGTGAACTCATTGCCAACAGGTACATTTTTTTTAATCATCATCCCAGTCCCTGTCTTCAGTTGTATAATGCTTAAGAATATATAATTTGCATAACATTTAAAAAAAAAAAAAAATCTGTTTCTATCTATGCCAAGCAGTCTATATAATATTAATGATATACAATACCAAGTCTATGATGACTGACATGTGCAACAGCTGGGTATCTATTATGTTTCAACAAGTTTTTATAATACAGAGAATACGTACAGACGACAGTGGAAGGTAACCAGTCCCTCAGCCTTGAAAGTGCTCACTTAGTCTTAATCAACCATTTATATGGACATCCTCGTGTATGTGATGTAGTGATTGAAATACTGATATTGACTAACCTTTCTCTTTTTCTAATTATACAGGCAAGCTTTTTTGTGTTCATTTATTACTATTGATTCAACATTAACTCCTAAATCAATTAAAATTGAATTAACAGGCATAGAAGATGTGATTAAACCAAAGAGAATCAACCGATCAAGAAATGGGCCAACAGAAGAAGTAGCTGACAAGTTCCTCTGCCAGCTGTCCAAGAAACAAATGGAAGGACTTTTAGAAGTATACAAGTATGATATAGAGCTCTTTGAATATGATGTCTCAAAATATATAAATTGTACCCAATCAAAAAGTTGAAGACAATACTGTTATAAATATGTAGTACACTTTATAAATACTTGTAGTAAAGATTTCAACTTTCTTCCAGTCATTTGTAAAAGAACATTCATGTGTGACAAATACAGAATTATTCAGAGGCAAGACATCACCAATTATACCAAATGTACGATAGTCATGTACTAGATGTAAACAGTGGCTTAAGATGGTGCTCCTCGACTTATGATGGCATTTGTTCATATGAACCCATCATAAATTTAAAATATACCAAGTCAAATATGAATGATAAATACCGTAACTGAATAAGTGAACATATAATTACTCTAACTAAATATCAGCATTGAAAAGTAAATAAACGAATACAAGTTTATTCTATCAATAAATGTACAGTACTGTACAGTACAAAATTATTTGTTTTGACATTACACTGCACCATTGTAAAGCCAAAATATCACATTTCGAACCATCATAAAGCGAGGAGCATATGTAGTTGTGGAAGTTTTACTATGGTTAACATTTAACCAACATTAAAGATTACAACATGAAGGGATGGCTACCATAGGCCTAACTGCTAATTGGCCATTTCTTCAATAAGATGAAGTTCAAATTAATTTCTTCCAAAAAATATATAGAAACACAGTAGTATATATTGTATTTTATTAGTATGATGATTGTAGATAAGATTTAATTTTAGTGACAATTCTCTTGAATTAACCCTTAAACTGTCCAAATGGAGATCTACGTTTGCTCACATAACGCTCGGAACGTAGATCGACATTCGATTTTACACGCTTTTTTATGTAAAAAAAAAAAAAGTAGATCTACGTTCGGAGCACAATGCGAGTGAACGTAAATCTACGTTTGGACAGTTTGAGGGTTGAAGACAAGGGATGCAAAATCCATAAGGGTCATACTCCTGAGAATGAGAAATCAAGTTTAATCCAAGGATGGGAAAAATACCAGTATGTATCTACTTCAATCAAGGCACCTCCTTAGAAGGGATAACTCCCAATAGATTGGACTTTTCTTTAGAAAAGAAATACATTTTGGTGTATCACCAAATGCTATGTATCCCCGAGTGTACTTCCATTAACCCGTAAACGGTCCAAACGCATATATACGTTCTCTCGCGTAGTGCCCCAAATTTTGAGAAAAAGTTTTTTTTTTTAATAGGAAAAGAGCATATGGTACCCAGGCATCCTCAATTATTTTAATGTGGCACACAGTGAGTGCGCACACCCATTCTCTCATGTCTAGGCGACTCAGGCTTATCGTGGCAATGTTGAATGTATGACAAATAAAACTTTTATATATATGTTTGGGGCACTAGCGGTAAAAACGTTATATATATACACACACACACGTTTGGACCGTTTACGGGTTAATATGCAAATTTTCAAGTTAGTGGCTGGAGAGGACTGGAGAAGTTTGGCAGCAGTTTGAGCCAGACTGGGAATTTCAAATGTCATTTGATGTACTATCTGTTATTACTTGATTTAACCTGTATCAGGATAAACAAAGCATTAATAACAGTGCTGACCCCTTCCCTCTTTCACCCATATGGCAAATCTCCAAGTACGATGTTGAATCCCTCGGCAACAGATTCATGGCTGTCTACGTGTACGCATATGCCAAAGCAAATACATACAATTTGTAAATACTGTACACATGCACAGCACACACTGATACAGTAGGTTGACTGATAAAGCTCAATTCTGGCAAACACATCTAATAGAGTACATACTGTTTAAATTTTAGTAGTAAACTGGAAGAAGCTTAGTATACACAACCACTGAAAGATTAAAAAACAGGACAGGAAGAGCATGCCATTACTCTTTCAATGACAAATAGTTAATTACAAATTGATAAGAGGAAGGATGGGTAGTGTATTCTACTCACACTTATCCCCTAATTCCTTGAGTTTGGTATGGTGTCTCACAGGTAAAAGTTGACATGTTCATGAAGCACTTACTTCAGATGCCTCAGGCAACAAATTTATGGACAAAGAAATTTGGTTAAGATAAGATTGGGTACTCCATCAGACTGAAAACCGGCCTATAAGGCTACGATAAATTGATTACGTCATGTCTATCCTTACAGTATATATGATGTAAAGCTAATGCAAAGAAAACATTCAGAGGATGACTGCCAACACTGAGTGACATGGACAGATTGCAAGTACAGTATAATGAAATGTCCACCTAAGGTCATTCAACCCTCAAAAGTGTAATGTGACCACAATAGGGAGGTGAAAAATAGTACCAAACTGGTTGACAAGGCATGAAAAAAAAACAACAACAATTAACCTATTACTAGAGACCCACAAACAGTATAATATCAATGGAATTAATACAAGAATAGTCTTCAGAGACCTCAGCAAAAACTCCAATATGATGCACACAAACTTGCACGAGGTCAGAATTATGGTGGTAACACTCACATGGAGTTCATCCTTCCTCAGATTCATAAAATAAAGCTCAAGAAAGAAAAGGAATTGACTAGAAGGTCAAGCGCTTTAAATTATGGACAAGATTTGCAAGGACAGGTTTAGAGAGTCGAATCTTAAAATGCTGGAAATATAAAATAAAAGGGGACAATCATAACTCAAAATACTCTGGTATTAAGGCAAATGCTATTCAAAGGGGATGGGCCAGAACATTACAAAATTAAGATGAAAGTGAAAACGAGCAGCAAGACTAAGCTTCAATTTGAGGATGGCGAGAGTGAAATATGCTTGTAGTAAATATGAGTATGGTGCTTTAGAGAGGTACCACAGTGGAACAAGTTCAGTGTTGGGTCACTAGATTGATACCACAACAGAGGTGAGATCTATAAGGAAAGATTTTATAAACAATCTCATGACTTGAGGAATGCATATAAAGGAAAAAATAGGACTATAAAACACATTGGGACACAACCAAGGGAGGCACTGACAGGCTGTTTGACATGGGAAGGTCCAGGACAAGAAAATGTTCAAGCTGAACACCCAAATTAGTCATGAAGGACATTGAAAACTTTGTTTACAGTTTACGGGTAATAAAGCAGAATGAGCTTGATCGTAATATACACAGATTCAATTGTAATATAGGATGCCAGACCTAATCATGTCAACTTGAACATTATAGAGGTAGGCAACATTAACAGTTAAATACAAACATCAGCGTACATGTACACAAACACACTAGGCCAGTATACACACACTGTACAAACAGTTCTATGAACCTTGATAACTGCACAAAAAATAAGGTATTAATCTTTAGAGACTTTCTAGTTGGAGATATTGCATAATTGTGAAGCAGTGCCTTTTAAAACACACTGCAAATATTGTAGATTAAGTAAATTTCATTACTATTGAACTCAAAATTTTAAATATTCTAATGTTTAAAATTTATTGGCATAAAATTTTATGCATCAAGTGTATTAGCAGGATATTTTTCCCTAACATTTACATTGCATTGTATTCATTGTCCCAACCCTGTGTTATGATCTTTTAGAAATAAAAATGCAATTTGGCAAAACTAGTTTAACAAATGCCTCTAAAAATAACGAGTATTTCATCCCACATTTTGAAAAGTCTAACCCATATTAAAAAAAAAAAGGCTGTATTCAAGAAAATTAAAACAGTAGCCAATCATTTACAGAGCAATTCATATCAAACTATCCACTGTTAGTGTGCACACTCAAATGCCACCGTTTTTAATGAACAAGAAAATATTCCACACCCGGTAATAGAGTTAAGTAGCATTAAACACGATGAAAATTATGATTAACGCCTCAAACAGTATATTACGATGTTCAAGGAGGACCTGTGGTGCGATTTTAATATTAGGGATGGGACGATACCAAAATTTTTGTAGATACCAGATACCAATATGCTGACACACCCCTAAACTAATAAAATTGATTTTTATTGCTAAAAATATAATGCTATAGGTCAAGTGGAATTTTCATGAGGTAAAAAAAGAAAGGTTTCTAAAAAAATAACTGACATGGTTAACTTATTTATTAGTTCATTTATATAACTACAGACGTGTAAAAAAAAAAATACACATTGCTTACAATAAATAACTAAAATTTAAATAATAGATATCTTTTATAGGTTTAAGCTTCACTTTTACATACTGGGTATTTACATCTTCATTAAAGTTAATTCATCTAACAGACAAGTCACACCATGACAACCTGGAGATACCTGGAGAGAGTTCCGGGGGTCAACGCCCCCGCGGCCCGGTCTGTGACCAGGCCTCCTTAGGTCAGTGTCCCAGGATGCGACCCACACCAGTTGACTAACACCCAGGTACCCATTTTACTGATGGGGAACATAGACAACAGGTGGAAAGAAACACGTCCAATGTTTCTACTCTGGCTGGGAATCGAACCCGGACCCTCACCGTGTGAAGCGAGAGCGTTAACCACCAGGCCACCAATGACAAGTTTTAAGAAAAAAAAAATTCTCAAAAGTAAACTTGAGTTGTTCTTACAATTAAGACATAGGTGAATTCTAAATTTTGCTTAAAATTACACAACAGGTACTCCTCGAGGGTTAGTAAATGTGCATAAGCATAGCCAGACAGGTGCACCACAAAATCTTTGGTGTACACCACAGCCTAATTGTTTTTAGGCTACCAGACTGTCCTACACCCATGGTAAACCAACAGTCCTATAAAGTGCACAACAACTGTTTCCAGATCTTCGGTACTGCTTGATAATATGGCTGTTACTACTTTTTCGTTTAGATGACCACTGAATGTGAGAAAACGTGCCTTGTCCTGCCTCTTGCATTTTTTTTTTACAATATAACGGTGCTGAGATTAATGGGATCCAACTTTACTTCTCTCTGGGATCCAGTCTCAGATTAGTCGAGCTGTATGATTAATACAATAGAATTATTTGGTTATTCAATGCTTTTAACCCCTTCAGGGTCCAAGGCCAAAATCTGAAGTGGTGCTCCAGTGTCCAAGAAATTAAAAAAAAAAAAAAAAAAAAAAAAAAAAAAAAATTCTTACAGAATTAAAGAGCATATTTTTGTGAAGGTAATAAGACAAAAAAAAAATTCTGATCAGTACTTACCGAGATACAGTGCCAAGAAGTTTGTCAAAAATAATGTGGTGGCGGCAACATCGACGAATTCCACATACGTGCATTACATTATTTAGCGGTTTTTATAGTTTTTTTCTTTTCCAGTTTTTTTCTTTTCCTACTAACATTTGGGGCCTGAGAGACCAATACTGTATATAATGTATATATATAAACTCACTGTATTGAACACAATAACTGCACTAAAGTTATTATATTATTGTTTACCACTGTTGTTTATTACAATAAACATGCACAAATATTGTATAATACTAATGTTCTATCATATATTTACAATCACTGGACATGGTTTTAGAACTGCTGGAGCTTGTGGAACTCCTTGAAACAAGGCACCATGCACAGAGGCACCTTACATTCCTCACACATAAACCGAGTGTCTTTGCGTCTTTGTTGCCGTCGTTTTGTTTGTGCACAGACAATGCATCTCTTCTGAGCAAATTTCTTCTGAGTTGAAGGAAGCTGTATTATGAAATGATCACTTTCCCTCCTCAAACGCTTGGATATATCCTGAGTAATTCGAGGACCTTGTTGTATAGCAGGTGTTCTTACCTGGTACTTCATTATGAGTTGTCTGACAACAAACAAAATTCATCATACGGTGGTCTGTTGCCAGTCTTTATTTGGTACATATTATATGCATTGAGCATTGAAATGTCCATGAGATGGAAGAAAAGTTTCATGTACCACTTGTAACTCTTACGAACAGTCAACAAAACCAATCTGCATGTCACATTTGTCAACCAAGCGCATGTTTTGTGTATAATCACTGTCACTGGTTTTCGAATACGTTCATTAGTCACTCGATCAACTTTGCCACTGTCTTGCATTTCATTACGGTGAATGGTTGTCAACAATGTGACATCTCGTTTGTCATGCCACCGTAATGCCATGATGTCATTGGCAGTAAACACCTGCACGTCATCACCACGAGCACCTGCGTTGAGCCTGGGCATATGTTTACGATTAGAACGCACTGTGCCACACACCTGTCTTGTTCACTCGCATGAAATCACTGAGTAATGGGCTTGTGTACCAGTTATCGGTATATAATGTATGCCCCTTACCAAGATAAGGTGCCATCATGTTTCTCACTACGTCACCTGAGATACCCAATAACATCTTGGTATCTTTCAATGTTTTACTTCCCGTGTATACAACAATATCCAACACCAGGCCACTGTCACAGAGTACAAACAGTTTTATACCAAAGCGTTTCCTCTTGCTCGGTATATACAGGAAGGCCCCGCTTTACGGCGTTTCACTTTACGGCGTTCCGCTAATACGGACATTTCAAATTATGACCAAAACTCGTTATACGGCTCCCCCCACCTGACTTTCTAATACGGTCACCGTGCCCCACCCTGTTTGTTTACATTCTCCATGAGCTCAGTAAGCACTAAGTCTCTCCATTTTGTCTGGAAACTCCAAAATTTCAAATGTTTTTAAAAGTTATTTCATATTTTATATATACTCTGATAATTATACTTATGTATACCTGTACCTAAATAAACTTACATACATCGAGTCATTTAAATGTCGTATATTACGTTAATATACACATTTTTCATTAATCCATCCATGATATTTTTTTTCAAAATTATATAATAAACACGATGCATAACATATAAATAAGATAAATACACCCCACAGTAGAATAAATAAACATAAATGTGAGATGTGGTAGCAGACGACTTGCACAAGTGACGCCATAATAACAATACTCACCAAGTCTCATTAAATGTCGTATATTACGGTAATATACACATTTTCATTAATCCATCCATGATATTTTTTTCAAAATTATATAATAAACACGATGCATAACATATAAATAAGATAATACACCCCACAGTAGAATAAATAAACATAAATGTGAGATGTGGTAGCAGACGACTTGCACAGTGACGCCATAATAACAATACTCACCAAGTCTCATTAAATGTCGTATATTACGGTAATATATACACATTTTCATTAATCCATCCATGATATTTTTTTCAAAATTATATAATAAACACGATGCATAACATATAAATAAGATAAATACACCCCACAGTAGAATAAATAAACATAAATGTGAGATGTGGTAGCAGACGACTTGCACAAGTGACGCCATAATAACAATACTCACCAAGTCTCATTAAATGTCGTATATTACGGTAATATACACATTTTCATTAATCCATCCATGATATTTTTTTCAAAATTATATAATAAACACGATACATAACATAAAAAGATGATAAATACACCCCACAATAGAATAAATAAACAAATATAAGATGTGGGAGCCTGGTTTGTTTACTCTGTGCCTGGCCTGTCACCTCTCATGTACTCATTCTTTCTCTCTCTCATTTATTCGTTTTATCTCATTTACTTACTCCTGACCCTACATTAAGACTACAAATATTTTAAGGTAAGTAATGAGTGAACTGTATATACATTTTATCGCTCTGGGATGCTTAAATATCATAGAATAGTATGTGTGGGTGGGGTGGCCTGGTAAGGTAGCCTGGCTATTACAATACATACCACACTTGATTTCTTACAATAAATACTACTTGTCTCACCCTAGATTAAGACTATAAATATTTTAAGGTAAGTAATGAGTGCACTATGTGTGTATTGTACCTTTTTATTGTTTTTTGATGCCTGGTTCTATTGCTAACTTAATATATGTTAGTGTAAACTTGTTATCTAGTGTTTGTATGCATTTATAAGTGGAAAAAAAGGGTGTTCCACTTTACGGCGATTTCCGCTTTACGGCGGTAGCCTGGAACCTAACCTGCCGTATAAGTGGGGCCCTCCTGTACTGCTTGAATTACAGTCTACCTTTGAACAAAATCAAAGACTCGTCAATTACAAGATTCTTGAATGGATAAAAGTACATGCTGAACTTTTGTTTGAGATGCATGAAAACATTTCTAATCTTGTATAACCTGTCACTTCCGTCAGGCCTGGTTTTGTCAGAGAAGTGCAACATACGTAAGAGCAAGATAAACCTGTTCACTGGGATGATTTCACTGAAGACCGGGGTAGAAATTAGCCGATCTGTGGACCAGTATGCTTTTATATTATGCTTATAGACATGAGGCATAAGCATTATTGTTGCAAAAAACAAATACATTTCTGCAACAGTCGTCTCTTTCCACCTGTGTAGTCTTGACTGTGGTGATATGATCGTATTTGCCATGGTGTACTCAAAATACTTATTACTTTCCCTGACAATAGTTTCCATCAATGGCTGGTCAAAGAATAATTCAAAGAATTCCAGTTCATTGGCCATGGTCCCAAGGGGACAAGTAAGTAGAATTCCACTTTGAGAGTCATCAAAGTGGTGAGGCTTGGGAACAAAATTGGGATTTTGCTGCCAATCCCACATACGGTTTGCTGGTGGATACTGGACATCATAGGCTGGTTGTGCGGATGGTTGTGGTGGGCTGGTGGCTGACGCTCCGCTTTGTCCTTGAACTGACGAGTCAGCAGCGTGGGTCCCACCCTGGGCTGGCGAGTCACGCATGGCGGTGCCACTACCATCACCACTAACACCAACCACTGATGCCTGTGGTCTATCCATGCCAAGTGTAGCCACATCATCCTCACTATCACTACCTAAAACTGGTGTAGGGCCACGGGATGTACTCCGGGATGTACTCCGTCCCCTGGGCACAGCATAAGGTACACTACCCGAGTGCATGCGGCGGCGAACATACCGACGCTTCACTGGTGAATATGATTCCTCACTATCACTACTCGAATGATCGTCGAGCGCAATAAAATCACAAACCACGTCACTATCATCATTACTGAAGTCAGAGTCCTGGCCACGCGAAAATATCAGTTTCCTCTTGCGTTGAGGAACAACCGACCGTGAGTCACGAGTGCCCACACCAGAGGTAGAAGGTTGAGGATCATCAGGGTTTCCTGCACTATTATCGATATCCTGGTCATTCTTTTCGGTCATTAACTGATCAAAGCCGTAGAATTCGTCTTCATTTCCACTTCCATCAGTGTCAGAACTATCAGATAGGAAGAGGAGAGTCCCAATTTTCCGTGGAGTGAGAGCTGACTTGCGACAAGGCATGGTGAACAAGGGTAACTGAGCCGGCGTTCCCACAATGCAATGCGGGCGCCTAGATTTTTTGTTTATGGCGCACACCCACCACGCAGACCCGTTCTCTCACATGTAGGCCTATGAGCGCTTTCGTGCTAAATTTGACGGCGCTAGAATTTTGGCGTAGATCTACGGTTTGGACACAACGTGAAGCCGTAGATCTATGGGACGGACCCTGAAAGGATTAACAGTTGCTAATATTAATTTCCTGTACTACCAATTTTTAACTAAGACAATTTTCCATTATCAGTACCAATTTGCTATTGTGACTAATTTACTGTCATTACAGACATCAATCATAATATTGTATAGTAAACTCAAACCATTCAAAGTTTATTAGATACAATGGTACCTCGAGTTACAAACTTAATTCATTCCAGAAGGCTGTTAGAGTGCCGATACAAACCGAATTTGTTCCCATAAGGAATAATTTAAATTAGATTAGTCTGTTTCAGACCCCCAAAAATACACTACCATAATTGTTCGAGTTTGGGGCTGTTCGAAACTCGGGTACCACTGTACAATACAAAACTGTAGTGTTTGATGAAGGGTAAATCCCATCCTATTTAAGCCAAAAAATTTGGGTTCCTGGGCCCTTAGTCAGGCACTGCACTCTGGTCTCTCAAACTGCCACTACAGTAAACCAATCTTATTTTATAAATTTGGAGATATAATAGCCATAATAGATTTTAAAGTGTAGGCAAATTAACACAAGATTTCTTGGAAATTATAAGTTTCCCTTGCTTTTCTATTGGTTAACTAGAATTCACTGTCTAATGCCAGAGTTCTTTCAGTATTCACCTGTATGCAATAGACATCTGCTGTATACAATCAGCATAGTTCACAAAAGCACAGGTTCTCCTTAAATAGACTTAGGTGAGTGTGAGTGAGCATAGTACAGCTGCCAAGGGCTACTGCATTGTGACATCAGTACAGTATGTGTAATTGACAAGTTTTATCCAAAAGCAAAAAAATTAAAAGTAACATTTTCACAAGATTATTTATTTATATTTGGTTATAATTACAGCACAGTACTATATAGGCTTTATGCATTGACAATAGTAAATACTCATGAAAGCTTTTCCTTGAGAAATCACATACTATATTTACAGGGGTAAAATGTATGTATATTTCCAGTGCCCTGATACTGTATTAAAAGTACAGTGGAACCTCGGTATACGACCAGCTCCCTACTCAAACAAAGCTCAGCACTACCAAACAAATACGACCTGCCAGAACTTCGCTGTAAACTATTTTGCGTTTCTTCGCATTTTTTGGTGTTTTTTGTATTACAGTGGAACCTAATTTTTCGTCCACTTTATCGGCCGATTTGTATTTAGGCCGGTTTTTCGGTGGAAATTTTGCTCCATATTTCGGCTGTTGCCTCGTATATTGGCCACATTAGACGCGTTAGCCTGCCTGTCTCGCCAGGACACTGGGCTTTGGTCAGTCAGTCTCCTTTTGTCTGTCGGCGAGTGAGCATACACTCCACGCATTCATCCAAACATTTCCTGAAAATCCATTGTTTTTGGTGATTTTTTTTATTAAGTGCAACTGAAATAAGTCACCATGGGCCCCAAGAAAGTTCCTAGTCAAGTTCCTTTAGTAAAGAAAGTGAGAAACATGATGGAATTTAAGAAGTAATAAAAAAATATGAGTGGTAGACGGGTGCTGGAACCTGCCAGGATGTATGGCAAAAACAAATCAACAATCACTTCTATCCTGGCAAAGGAAGAGCAAATCAAGGAAGTTGATGTGGCGAAAGGAGTAAACCTGTTAACGAAAGTGAGATCACAAACAAATGAAGATGTGGAGTAGTAGTTGTGGATCAGGGAAAAACAGTTAGCGGGAGATAGTGTTTCAGAGATGATCATTTGTGAAAAGGGAAGGCAGCTGCATGCCGATCTCGTAAAGAAAATGCCTGGTACTAGTGATGATAGTGAATTTAAGGCCAGCAGAGGCTGGTCTGAGAGATTTAAGAAGCGTAGTGGCATACACAGTGTTGTAAGGCATGGGGAGGCTGCAAGTTCTGACAAACGTGCGGCTGAAAAATTTGTGCAGGAATTCAAGGGGTATGTACAGACTGAAGAATTCCAACCCCAACAAGTGTTCACTTGTGACAAAATAGGCCTCTTTCGGCAGAAAATGCCAAAGGGGACTTGCATCATGGAGGAGGAAAAGGCACTGCCAGGGCACAAGCTAACATTTGTTCTGTGCTAATGCTAGTGGGGATTTCAAAGTGAAGCCTTTACTTGTGTATCACACTGAAAATCCCAGTGTGTTCAAGAAAAACAATGTCATTAAGAGTACATTGTGTGTGATGTAGAAAGTTAATCGTAAGGTATGGGTCATGAGGCAACTTTCCATTGACTGGGTCCATGAAGCGTTTGGCCCAAGTGTGAAAAAATACCTCCTGGAAAATAAATTGCCACTCAAGTGCCTCCTGGTAATGGATAATGCTCCTGCTTATCCTTCAAACTTTGTAGACCTATTGTCTAGGGATTTCCGATTTATAACAGAAGTTCTTGCCTCCTAACACCACTCCTCTCATCCAGCCCATGGATCAGCAGGTCATTTCTAACTTCAAAAAACTGTACACAAAAGCAGTGTTTCGAAAGGGCTTTGAAGTGACCTCAGACACTGAATTGACCCTAACAGAGTTCTGGAGGAATCTCTTCAATATCCTTACCTTCTGGGACAGATTACGGCCAAAAAATGAGGTTCCACTGTATTTGTATAAACAAGTCAACATGGGGCCTACAACGATTAGTGATAACAGCCAACCAAACAAAATTGGTGGGAAGAACTTTTTCGATATTCAAACGGAGCGGCACTCAGACAGCCTTCTGGAATGAATTAAGGTCGCATACCGAGGTTCCACTATTTTTAAACGACTATCTGTTACCAGTATAAACACACATCAGGCATGATTAAATCTTCAGTTATTTTCTCAATATCAAATCATCTGATACTCCACAAGCTTGGTGATATTTCAGTCATGGACAAAGTATCTTTTCAATCAATGAAAACTGCCCACCAGGGTAAGGTTTCCCCATAAGATATTACATAATCTATTTCTACAAGTACATGTACAGCATATACAGGCCTAGCTGAAACCAATGACATACTACTTTACAGAAAGCTCCTTGTTATTCAGAGCATTTCAGGCAAATTAGGTCAGTTTTGTTCCCAGGATGCAACCAACACCAGTCAACTAATACCCATAGCTCCTTTGCATAAGGTAGGTAGTACAGCACTAGCTAAAAATTACAGACCAGTAGCCCGAACCTCTCGCATCATAAAAATCTTCGAAAGAGTGACGAGATGGCAGATTACAAATTTCATGGACCAGCACAACCAACATAACCTGAACCAGCATGGTTATAGAGCAGGACGATCATGCCTGTCACAGCTGCTGAACCATTATGACAATTACGGAGGCATTGGAAGACTACCAAAACGCAGATGTGATTTACACAGATTTTGCAAAGGTGTTTGACAAACACAATCATGAAGTGACAGCGCATAAAATGAAGGCCATGGGCATTATGGGGAAGGTAGGCAGATGGATTTTTTGGTTCCTAACGCAGGACACAAAAAGTAGTAGTGAACAGGGCAAGATCCAGCATCAGTGAAGTCAAAAGCACAGTGCCCCAAGGCACGTTGAGAAAGTAAAGCACCTAAACTACTGGGAACACCTGCATGTCTTGAACGTCTATTCACCATAGCGGAGGAGAGATACACGATAATATATACCTGGAAAATACTCAAGGGCCTGGTCCCAAATCTGCACACTGCCATAACATACTGGAGTGAGATATGGGAGGCAGCATAAAATAAACATGTTAAGCAACATGAAAATAAAATAGGGAGAACAGCAGTGCTTTCAATATTTAATCCTTAGTGTAAATTTTTAACCATACAAACAGGAGGGAGGAGATTATAAATCAAGATTAGAGGACAGGAGACAAAGGAATGAGAACCTTCTTGAAGAAAACCAAACTAGAAAAAAGATTTTACAAGTCAACACGAGGTGCTACTTCACTCTACAGTGTATTTTGCTTTACAGCAGTAGCCTGGAACCTGACCTGCCATATAATCAAAGCCCTACTGTACATGGGAAATGTACAGAGGCAATGTCAAGACTCGCTAAATATGGAGAAAAAAATTACAACTGCACCCATAATTCAACCAGGAATACAAGTGAAGTTAAGATCATTGGAGGTTCGATCCAAGGAAAGGGAGTAATTCAGATTTCTTGAATCAACAGCCCCTTACCAAAATCATGGACCCCCTCCCATTAAGGGATTTTTCCAAGGAGGGAAATCACCCTCCTACTAGAGTTCCATACATCTTTCAATCACCAAATGAATACTTGCCAGAATGCTATTTGTAGTTTGTTCCAAAACAGATTCACACTAGAATAACTGCCTACAGTAACTAAGATCTGATGCAAATGATCTACCTCACCCTAAAGTACCCAGCATGTAATACAGTAGTCAATAGCATGTAAGTGTACATACAAGTTTAAGTCTGTTTCAAGAAAATACTCACTGCATAACTTAAAGCAGTGGCATAGCAAGCCTGTATTGAAGCACAGAAGGTAGTAGACTGAGGTGTTGGTCTTGGGATCACTTGGGTTCAGGTACAGGAGGCAGTAGACTGAAGTGTTTGTCTTGGGATCACTTGGGTTTGGGTACAGGAGGTCATCAACTGCAGTGCTGTTCATGGGTCAATGGGCAGTTTGTCTTCCTTTACATACTGTGCTGCAGTACGGAAGGTATGGTGGCTGAAAATAAAAATATTGTCAACTTGGCATTTACCCCAAAAGTGATGATCAAATTTGTGTAACTGGTCACAGGTAACAATTTCTCTCTAATTCTGAAGAGTTTATCAAAGTGGTAAACAATTTACAACTTTTCCATCCTATGGAGAGGGAGCATGGACACGGGGGTCGTCCCACAGTTACTAAAAACAACAGACATAGCCCCACTCCACAAAGGGGGCAGTAAAGCAACAGCAAAGAACTACAGACCAATAGCACTAACATCCCATATCATAAAAATCTTTGAAAGGGTCCTAAGAAGCAAGATCACCACGCATCTAGAAACCCATCAGTTACACAACCCAGGGCAACATGGGTTTAGAACAGGTCGCTCCTGTCTGTCTCAACTATTGGACCACTACGACAAGGTCCTAAATGCACTAGAAGACAAAAAGAATGCAGATGTAATATATACAGACTTTGCAAAAGCCTTCGACAAGTGTGACCATGGCGTAATAGCGCACAAAAATGCGTGCTAAGGAATAACAGGAAAAGTCGGTCGATGGATCTATAATTTCCTCACTAACAGAACACAGAGAGTAGTCGTCAACAGAGTAAAGTCCGAGGCAGCTACGGTGAAAAGCTCTGTTCCACAAGGCACAGTACTCGCTCCCATCTTGTTCCTCATCCTTATATCCGACATAGACAAGGATGTCAGCCACAGCACCGTGTCTTCCTTTGCAGATGACACCCGAATCTGCATGACAGTGTCTTCCATTGCAGACACTGCAAAGCTACAGGCAGACATCAACCAAATCTTTCAGTGGGCTGCAGAAAACAATATGAAGTTCAACGATGAGAAATTTCAATTACTCAGATATGGTAAACATGAGGAAATTAAATCGTCATCAGAGTACAAAACAAATTCTGGCCACAAAATAGAGCGAAACACCAACGTCAAAGACCTGGGAGTGATCATGTCGGAGGATCTCACCTTCAAGGACCATAACATTGTATCAATCGCATCTGCTAGAAAAATGACAGGATGGATAATGAGAACCTTCAAAACTAGGGAGGCCAAGCCCATGATGACACTTCAGGTCACTTGTTCTATCTAGGCTGGAATATTGCTGCACACTAACAGCACCTTTCAAGGCAGGTGAAAATTGCCGACCTAGAAAATGTAACAGAGACTTTCACGCACGCATAACGGAGATAAAACACCTCAATTATTGGGAGCGCTTGAGGTTCCTAAACCTGTATTCCCTGGAACGCAGGAGGGAGAGATACATGATTATATACACCTGGAAAATCCTAGAGGGACTAGTACCGAACTTGCACACGAAAATCACTCATTACGAAAGCAAAAGACTTGGCAGACGATGCACCATCCCCCCAATGAAAGCAGGGGTGTCACTAGCACGTTAAGAGACCATACAATAAGTGTCAGGGGCCCGAGACTGTTCAACTGCCTCCCAGCACACATAAGGGGGATTACCAACAGACCCCTGGCAGTCTTCAAGCTGGCACTGGACAAGCACCTAAAGTCAGTTCCGGATCAGCCGGGCTGTAGCTCGTATGTTGGTTTGCGTGCAGCCAGCAGCAACAGCCTGGTTGATCAGGCTGTGATCCACCAGGAGGCCTGGTCTCAGACCGGGCCGCGGGGGCGTTGACCCCCGGAACTCTCTCCAGGTAAACTCCAGTAAGGAAGCCTGGAAGAGTTACCAGAGTAATACCTTTCTCAGATGGCAAAATCTAAGTTTATTTAGGCACAGGTGTACACAAACAATTATCAAAGTGTAAATTGTCTAGGGGTGTAAAGTTGGTGGGAGGTTATGGACAGGAGCCCCTGGTTACGCTTTTGGGCTATCCTAGGCAATTTACAAACGATCGTACACTGGTTTGTGTGGCCAGCAATAACAGCCTGGTTGATCAGGGCCTGATCCACTGCGAGGCCTGATCATGGACCAGGTCTCGGGGCTGTTGACCCTGAAACACCCTTCAGGTATTACTACATATAATATTTGTGTAACTATTTGTTTGTACCTCTACCTAAATCAACTTCCTATGCTTCAGGTTGAATTCCACAATTATCATGGAAGAGTGTTAAACCTGTAGGGATTATACAGCACTTGTGGAATGGAACACATTCAGGCTTAATTCAGGGAATTGGAGCACAGATGAAGATTATATAATTAAAATAATGGAGCGCTAAACCCATAGGATTACACGGTGCATCTATGGGGGATGGAAGGTATTCAGGCCCAATTCAGGGAACCAGAGCACAGGTCCAATTCCCTAGATCAAGAGCCCCTCGCCAGCATCAAAGAACCTCCCTCGAAGGGCCCTAGATCAAGAGCCCCTAACCAGCATCAGAGCCTCCCTCGAAGGGCCCTAGATCAAGAGCCCCTCACCAGCATCAAAGAACCTCCCTCAAAGGGCCCTAGATCAAGAGCCCCTAACCAGCATCAAAGCCTCCCTCGAGGGGCCCTAGATCAAGAGCCCCTCGCCAGCATCAAAGAACCTCCCTCGAAGGGCCCTAGATCAAGAGCCCCTAACCAGCATCAAAGAGCCTCCCTCGAAGGGCCCTAGATCAAGAGCCCCACATTGCTGACCAACAAGGAGCCAAAATTGGGATGTAGAAGTCTCGGGGGGGGGGGGGGTGTCCTAATTTACACACATCACAATAATTGCATCCTAATTTACACATTACAATAATTTACACACATTACAATAATTGTAAGGAACTTTTAAGTAGTTACACAATCATAGACAGTAATGTGTAAATTACCCAGGATAACCCAAAAAAGTGAGATTGGTTTATTTACTACACTGGTCCAACTAAACTTGTGTAGCTGCAAGCTTTCAAGTTTTTTATATAGTAATGTGTGTACATTAACATAACAAAAAAAAGTTAATGACTTAAATGAAACAAGTCAAAATGTAAGTTAAAAGGTCAACCAGGGAAAGTGAATTAAAAGGTCAAAAAGGGGCAAGTTAAAAGGTCAAAGTTCTGCAGTAGCAGCAGAAAGTTAAGGTAGAAGTAACATCTGGAATAGTAGAAACGGTAGCATAAACAGTAGAAATGGTAGCATAAACAGTAGAAACGGTAGCATAAACAGTAGAAACGGTAGCATAAACAAACGGAAGCATAAATAGTAAAAACGGTAGCATAAACAGAAACGGTAGCATAAACAGTAGTAGAAACGGTAGCATAAATAGAAACGGTAGCATAAAGTAGAAACGGTAACAAACAGTAGTAGAAACGGTAGCATAAACAAACGGTCGCATAAACAGTAGTAGAAACGGTAGCATAAACAGTAGTAGAAACGGTAGCATAAACAGTAGTAGAAACGGTAGCAGAAACAGTAGTAGAAACGGTAGCAGAAACAGTAGTAGAAACGGTAACAAACAATAGTAGAAACGGTAGCAGAAACAGTAGTAGAAACGGTAGCAGAAACAGTAGAAACGGTAGCAAACAGTAGAAACGGAAGCATAAACAGTAGAAACGGTAGCATAAACAGAAACGGTAGCATAAACAGTAGTAGAAACGGTAGCATAAACAGTAGTAGAAACGGTACCATAAACTAGCATAAATAGTAGAAACGGAAGCATAAACAGTAGAAACGGTAGCAGATAGTAGAAACTGTAGCAGAAACAGTAGTAGAAACGGTAGCAGAAAAACGGTAGAAGAAACGGAAGCATAAACAGTAGAAACGGTAGCATAAACAGTAGAAACGGTAGCATAAACAGTAGAAACGGTAGCATAAACAGTAGAATAAACAGTAAAAACGGTAGCATAAATAGAAACGGTAGCATAAATAGAAACGGTAGCATAAACAGTAGAAACGGAAGCATAAACAGTAGTAGAAACGGAAGCATAAACAGTAGTAGAAACGGTAGCAGAAACAGTAGTAGAAACGGTAGCAGAAACAGTAGTAGAAACGGTAGCAGAAACAGTAGTAGAAACGGTAGCAGAAACAGTAGTAGAAACGGTAGCAGAAACAGTAGTAGAAACAATAATAGAAGTAGAAACGGTAGAAGCTGCGGCAGTATTAGTAGTAGCAGCAGCAGGACCAGGAGCAAGAACACCCTCCCTCCAGCAGCTCCAGCGGGTGACTGAGGTTACTCACTCTCTCAACTACCCAACAGTTGCCACAAACTACCATTCAATTGTTTCAACTAACAACAATAACACATCTCTATAATATATACATAAAAAATACATTAACAAGCAAGAGATAATTATAATAATTACTAATAAACCAAAATAATTCACTTAAAAAGCAATTATATCAATATATAAATCAGCGCTATCTATTGAGTTGATTTAAATAACTTAAACTTGATTACCATTTCGTAAATTAAATTTGATTTTTTTTATAATTAATAAACACTAATGAGACACTTCAATTAGTCATATTTTGGCTTTAGTCACGTTATAATACATATATAATTTGATATAACTGAAGGCTCAATAAAAATAATTATGAAAATTATATTTCTAAAAAAAAAGAAATCAATGGGTTACTTAAATGTTGATGGTTAAATATTGACTTTTTTTTCCAAATTTAAGATTACATTAACATCGATACAAAGTGATATTTTGTAAGCTATTTATCAGCGCGATTACAATGGAAATAAGTCATTTTGACTTTTGAGGAGTCAGCTTGATGGGTAATTTATACGTTACTAAATAATTATGAAGGAGAGATAAAATATGCAAAATAACTACAGGGGAAGTTGAATGATAGCTCTAGGCCTTTCATGTTGTAATCAACACTTCATCAGGAGCTTGCAATGTTGCAAAATTTGAGCAGGAATTCCAGGCTGATTCATCCAGGGGAACCTCTCTCTCTCTCTCAAAAAAAAAAAACTTAGATCAATGGTAGTTCTTGACTAACAAACAAAACTTGGGTTCAATCCCCAGGACACTGATCTATATTTTTAACACTGGCCGTTTCCCACCAGGGCCGGGAGACCTGAAAAAGAAACACTTTCATCATCACTCACTCCATCACTGTCTTGCCGGAGGTGTGACGACATCACAGCTCAGATGCTGAAAGGTTAATGTGAGGGAAACTTACCATTGTCAGGGTATGTTAGTGTGAAAAACGAAGAAAAACATAAATGAGAGAAAAGGTCAAGTCCTTTCTTTAATGACCTTACCATAGTGATGGTCTGACTGGTGTCCCATGGTCTGGTAGGTAATGCTCTCTCTCCTCACACGCTGAGTGTCCGTGGTTCGATCTCCGGGAAGAGTGGAAACACTGAGCACGTTTCGTGATGCCTGTTGTCCCAGGTACCTACTTACCTAGCAATAAGTAGGTAGCAGCTGCTTACCTAGTAGTACCTAGCAGTAAGTAGGTACCTGGGTATTTGTGGACTGGTATGGGTGGCATCCTGGGAAACAAGACTGGAGGACCTCAATGGAAATAACAGTCCTCGACGCACTGACTTTCTTGGGTTATTCAGGGTGGCTAACTCTCCGGGTTAAAAATCCGAACACACCTCATCTTGATTAACCATGCAAGACCAGTTGGTCGACCTAATTTTACTTACAAGGTTAATAAAACTTTTCTCTCAGGAACTTTTTAATTGTGATTTTTTCTGCAACACAGATTTTACTTAACAAGCAAACGAATTATAATGTGTAATACGTAAATGCATATATAATGTCTTTATGAGAATGTGTTGCAATAACCAATCGTATATACAAATTATACATTTCAGACTAGTATTCATACATATCTTATTCTAAGAAGCAGACTGAGGGAGATCACAAGAAGCAACTACCACTGAAGTTTACCACTGATAACAGCCATAACAAGATAACCAAGGTTATGATTATTTTAATATATTTTAAAGGTAATTCTCCCTACACTGCTTGTTTGCTGGGAGTTTGTTATATTGAGACTATAGCTAATCTTGTGATAATGTTGGTAGAATTACTGACAATGTTAGGTAAGGACATACATGTAACTAACATTAGTGACAATAACGTAACTAACATTAGTGACAATAACGTAACTAACATTAGTGACAATAACATAACTAACATTAGTGACAATAACGTAACTAACATTAGTGACAATAATGTAACTAACATTAGCGACAATAAAAATGTCACATTAGATGCACTTGTGACCTTTTACCTAAACACAGATAATATTACGAACTATATTCCTGTTTTAATATTGTTTTTTAATCAACCTGATCCCAGAAAAAGTATATAGTATTTAATATAATTTGATTATGAAGTGATCGTATCAGGTTATCTTAAAAATAATTTGTTTATACTTTTATATAATATAGTCATATCTATGAATGTAAATACGAGATATTTACGCTTTTATAACTTTTACACTATGAGATTACAATATGAGATTTTTTACCATAATAACTAAGAAATTTTACATCAGTATCACAACTGCGAAATAAAAGTGAAAAAATAGATCTTATAAATGCAAGATAAAGCAATGATGTGGATATAACTAATTTTGGCAGCTTTATGTTATGAAGCTAAAAGATAACTAAAGAATGTTAAGGTTGAAAAAACTGTAACATTATAACTAAGATGTACCAGGTAACACAATGCTGAGAACCTTCAACACAGTGCAGACATCTTTTAACAATAGCTTGTGTGTGGAGCCACGCTTGCAGTCTACAAGAGCTGTAGTGGTATAATGCTGTTATTGAAATTTTTGTGTATACACTCGATTCATGAAAACTTGAGAAACCACTTGGAACAATGGGTAAGAAGAGATTTAAATATTTTTTCCTGTCTTTGGTGGATGAGCGGGCCTCTGTAGGGAGAAATATCCAAATCTTTTTTACCGTTCGTTTCATTTGGCACAAGTGATTTCTCGCCTTGCGTGTGCACCGTAATGTCAGTGAAGCATTAATGCATCTTTGAAACTTCTCAAAACTATAACATGCTGGAACTTTAGCACCACAGCCATTATAAAGGTAAACGTGAAGGTCTTGTGCTGGTCACCTCACATATTTTACCAACATCTGTTGCATTAATAACAATGTTGATAACTGCTTACGCTGTAACAGCTGCAGTTTGTATGATTTTTTCAACTCTATATATAATCACTCCATTCATACTTTACCTTTCATGTGTTAGTAATAACTTCTGTTGAGATTTATACATGCTTACAAACTTGAGGTAAAATACAAAAATAATTGCTATTGTATTAACTGGAATGCATCATGTAATTCTTGCATAAATGTGGGTTAAAGTCGAGAACACATTTCAGAGTCTCTAAACTAAATTACCTTCCATATCTTCTAGTCCACATTTAATAATGATACATTTTCTCTTTCAAAGTAGAAAGATCATACTTACTTTTCAGTTACATACATAGTAATTACTGTACTCCATTCAAAATCTAAATTGCACATACACAGTGTGGTTAGGCATACTTTGGAGGCTTAGGAACACGTTCACTGGAGGTACTTGTACACTTTGAAGCAATGGTTGCCTGAGTCTGCAACGAAGATCTGGCCATCAGGAGTGAGGGTCATCCCCTGGGGGCCGTACAAGGGATCTGCGAGGGTGTTCACATATGACAGGAAGGACCCCTGAGAGTCAAACACCTGAAAAAGTACAGAACAGCCATTAATATTTTGAATATAAGAGAGTCAAGATAATCCAACCATAGATATTTAGTTAACTTGTGAATACAAAAACATTGGCTCTGCATCTTTTGCATGATGATTTAAACTCTTAATTAACTTCTGCATGACACCCTCCTATTTTAAGTTATTCTAGGTAATTTATACTGTGTATGGTAATTGTATTTATGTGAACCTGAACTTAAATAAACTTAATTACCTATGGATAAAGGAAATGGCATTAATGGTGGCAGACAAGAAATGTAATAAAAATGTAGTCCTACAAGGATAAAAATTCAATGTTTTTAATTAGATCATGTGGGATATTACTCACCAATTTCTCTTAATACCAAACAGCAGTTTTTCTTACTGTAAACATTTATCCCTTTATATGGAAGAAATCGCAATAAAATATGTGATTGCAAATATGTAAAACTATCAACAACACTTTATAAAGTGTAATCACACATAGTAACCTTTAGAAAGAAATAAAATCTGTTTCTTTGTAAAACCCAAACACTTACACCCAAACACTTACACACACACACACACACACACACACACACACACACACAACCCGAACCATGATCCTGCAGGAGAAAGCACGGCTGAGAGGCAAGCAGGAGTTCCGGAGTGTGTACCTCGACCGAGACAGAACACAGGACGAAAGGAAGACAATGAAAGAGAGAGTTCAAAAACGAAAGGAGAAATGGGAGGAAATGAAAAAGGAGAGCAGAATAACCCAGGATCAAATGGAAGGACAAGCGCACCCCCCAGAAACACCTGCAGAAGGACTCCAGCCACGACACCCCCAAGGCAACTGACATTCCAAACCAACCATCACACACCGATCCCTCTGTTCCCCCCCCCCGCACCACAGTTACAGTATTAGAACAGAAGTTGAAGTTTGGTACACAAATGCAGATGGATTAACGAATAAACATGAGGAATGGCAAGAAAGATCAATGAGAAGTCCCCAGACTCATAGCAGTTACAGAAACAAAACTCATGGAGACAATAACAAAATGCAATCTTCCCACCAGGATACCAGATCATGAGGAAAGATAGAAGGGGTAGGGGGGAGGTGGGGTTGCTCTGCTCGAAAAAAACAGAATGGAAATTCGAGAAAAATGGAAGGAATAGATGAGACAGGAGAAAGAGACACATAGCAGGTACACTTCAGTCTGGGGAACACAAAGTGGTCATTGCAGTGATGTATAATCCCACAGAAAATGCAGGAGGCCCAAAAGAGGAATATGAAAGAAGCAACAGAGCAATGGTGGACACACTTGCTGAGGTGGCAAGAAGAGCTCACACCAGCAGAGCAAAGTTGCTGGTTATGGGGGATTTCAACCACAGGGGATTGACTGGGAAAACCTGGAGCCACATGGGGGTCCCAAACATGGAGAGCCAGGATGTTGGACGTGGTGCTGGAAAACCTCATGCACCCAAAATGTTAGGACACTACCAGGTGAGAGGGGAGGATGAACCAGCAAGATTGGACCTTGTGTTCACCCTGGGCAGCTCAGACATTGAGGACATCAAGTATGAGAGTCCCCTAGGAGCTAGCGACCACGTGGTTCTGTGCTTTGAAAACATAGTAGAGCTGCAAGTGGAGAGAATTAACAGGGAGGAAAAGGGAAAAGCCTGACTATAAAAGAGGGGACTACATAGGGTTGAAGAACTTCATGCGGGAGGTCCGTGGGACAGAGAACTGGCAGGAAAACCAGTAAATGAAAAGATGGAAAATGTAGCAACAAAATGCAAGGAGCAGTGAAAAGGTCATTCCCCAAAGGGGAACAGTAACAACGGGGAAGACCCAGAACAAGCCCCCGGTTTACCCGACGGTGTAGGAGGCAAAAACAAAGTGCAATAGAGAATGGAAAAAAATACAGAAGGCAGAGAACACACGAAAATAGGGGATCAGTCGCAGAGCCAGGAATGAGTACGCACAGGTAAGGAGGGAGGCCCAGCGACAGTATGGAAAATGACATAGCATCGAAATCAAGACTGACCCGAAACTGTTGTATAGCCACATCAGGAGGAAGACAAAAAAGTCAAAGACCAGGTGATCAGATTAAGGACAGAAGGTGGAGAACTCACAAGAAATGAAACAGGAGGTATGTGAGGAGCTGAACAGGAGATTTAAGGAAATTTTTACAGTAGAGACAGAAAGGGGTGTGGGAAGACCGCACAGAAGGGAACATCAAGAGGGAATATACCAACAAGTGTTGGAAAGACATACAACAAAACTGAGGAGGGGGTGAAGAAGCTCTTAAGTGACCTTGACACCTCAAAGGCGATGGGACCCCGGACAACATCCCCCCATGGGTCCTTAGAAAGGAGCAGAGATGCCCGTGTGGGGCCTTTTAACCCCAAAACTTCAACACATCCCCTTTAAACGGGCAACACCCGAAAATGGAAGACAGCTAATTAGTCCCCATATTTAAGAAAGGGGAAAAAGAAAAGAGGGACTAAATACAGACCTGTGTCCCCTGAAAATGTTTGTGTGCAAAGTCCCTTGGGGAAGATTATCAGGAGGAGAAATTGGGCGAAAAACCTGGAAAGGAACAAGATTATTAAAAGAAAACCGCATGGGTTCATGGAAAAGGGAAATTTTTGTTTTCACAAACCCCCTGGAGTTTTTTTGACAAGGTTTAAAAGAAAAAAAACACGAGAGAGGGGGTTGGGTAGATTTCGTTTTCCAGAAATGCAGGAAAGGGCCCTTTTAAAAAAGGGTTTCCCCCAAGGAAATTTGTGCAGAAGCTGGAGGATCAGGGACAATAAAAAGGGAAAGGGGACGCAATTTTGGGTAAAGGGGGTACCCGGGCAGGGGGGCGCAACGAGTCTTTGGGCGTGAAGAGGTATCCCCAGTGGGGCCTGTTTCCCCAGCGGGGGGCCCACAGGGGGAGGTTTAGGAAACCCGTGGCCCATTTTTTGAATATGTGAACCCCCCCCCCCCCCCCCCCCCCCCCCCCCCCCATGATGAAGGAAAAGGGCTCTGGAAATGTCCCTGTTCGCAGATGACGGGGAAATTGATGAGAAGAAAAATTTTAATCGGACGAGGAAAGAGGCAGGCTGCAAAGAGAAACCCGGAGAGGCGGACATGTGGTCCCGTAACGGCCCCCTCGAAATTCCCAAACCCGCCAAAAAGCAAAGTCATGAAAATTTGGGGGGGGGGGGGGGCAAAGAAGACCGCGACAGAATATAGGCCCGGTGGAAAAAAAGAATACGACCTTTACTCAGGGAGAAAGGGCCTTGGGGTGACCATAACACCGAGTACATTTCCCCGGGGGCACACATCAACCAAATAACCGCTGCAAACATACGGGGCCCCGGAAAAACCCCCGAATAGCGTTTTCCCTAAACCCCAATAAAAACGGTTTAAGGACTGTAACGTGTATGTTAGGCCCATACTGGGGTAAAGCAGCACCGTCTGGAACCCACACTGGTCAAGCACGTCAGAAGTTAGAGAAAGTACAAAGGTTTGCAACAAGGCTAGTCCCAGAGCTCAGGGAATGTCGTCGAGGAAAGGTTAAGGGAAATCGGACTGACGACACTGGAGGACAGAAGGGGTCAGGGGAGACATGATAACGAATACAAGATACTGCGGGAATAGACAAGGTGGACAGAGATAGGATGTTCCAGAGAGGGGACACAGGGACAAGGGGTCACAACTGGAAGCTGAAGACTCAGACGAGTCACAGGGACGTTAGGAAGTATTTCTTCAGTCATAGAGTTGTCAGCAAGTGGAATAGCCTAGCAAGTGAAGTAGTGGAGGCAGGAACCATACATAGTTTTAAGAAGAGGTATGACAAAGCTCAGGAAGCAGAGAGAGAGAGGATCCAGTAGCGATCAGTGAAGAGGCAGGGCCAGGAGCTGAGTCTCGACCCCTGCAACCACAATTAGGTGAGTACAATTAGGTGAGTACACACACGAAGGTGTAGGGAGGCAAAAGCTAAGTGCAACAGAGAATGGAAAAGGTACAGGAGGCAAAGGACCCAAGAAAACAAGGAGATCAGTAGAAGAGGCAGAAACGAGTATGCACAGATAAGGAGGGAGGCCCAACGACAGTATGAAAATGACACAGCATCGAAAGTCAAATCTGACCCGAAACTGCTGTATAGCCACATTAGGAGGAAGACAACAGTCAAGGACCAGGTGATAAGGCTGAGGAAAGAAGGTGGAGAACTCACAAGAAATGATCAAGAGGTATGTGAGGAGCTCAACATGAGATTTAAGAAAGTATTTACAGTAGAGACAGGAAGGCCTCTGGGGGGACAGACCAGATGGGGACACCAGCAAGGAATACACCAACAAGTGTTGGACGACATACATACAGATGAGGAGGAGGTGAAGAAACTGCTAAGGGACATCGATACCTCAAAGGCAATGGGACCGGACATCTCCCCCATGGGTCCTTAGAGAGGGAGCAGATATGCTGTGCGTGCCACTTACCACAAATCTTCAACACGTCCCTGGAAACTGGGCAACTACCTGAGGTATGGAAGACGGCAAATGTAGTTCCCATTTTTAAAAAAGGAGACAGAAAAGAGGCACTAAACTATAGACCTGTGTCATTGACGTGTATAGTATGCAAAATTATGGAGAAGATTATCAGGAGGAGAGTGGTGGAGCACCTGGAACGGAACAAGAATATAAATGCCAACCAGCATGGATTCATGGAAGTCAAATCCTGTGTCACAAACCTTCTGGAATTTTATGATAAAATAACAGAAGTAAGACACGAGAGAGAGGGGTGGGTTGATTGCATCTTCTTGGACTGCAAGAAGGCCTTTGACACAGTTCCTCACAAGAGATTAGTGCAGAAGCTAGAGCATCAGGCGCATATAACAGGAAGGGCACTGCAATGGATCAGAGAATACCTGACAGGGAGGCAACAACGAGTCATGGTATGTAATGATGTATCACAGTGGGCACCTGTGACGAGCGGGATCCCACAGGGGTCGGTCCTAGGACCAGTGCTATTTTTGGTATATGTGAATGACATGATGGAAGGGTTAGACTCAGAAGTGTCCCTGTTTGCAGATGATGTGAAGTTAATGAGGAGAATTAAATCAGATGAGGACCAGGCAGGTCTTCAAAGAGACCTGGACAGACTGGACACCTGGTCCAGCAAATGGCTTCTCGAATTTAATCCTGCCAAATGCAAAGTCATGAAGATAGGGGAAGGGCACAGAAGACCACAGACAGAGTATAGGCTAGGTGGCCAAAGACTGCAAACCTCACTCAAGGAGAAAGATCTTGGGGTGAGTATAACACCGAACATGTCTCCGGAAGCACACGTCAACCAGATAACTGCTGCAGCATATGGGCGCCTGGCAAACCTGAGAACAGCATTCCGATACCTTAGTAAGGAATCGTTCAAGACACTGTACACCGTGTATGTCAGGCCCATACTGGAGTATGAAGCACCTGTTTGGAACCCGCACTTAATAAAGCACCTCAAGAAACTAGAGAAAGTACAAAGGTTTGCGACAAGGTTAGTTCCAGAGCAAAGGGGAATGTCCTATGAAGAAAGGTTAAGGGAAATCGGCCTGACGACACTGGAGGACAGGAGGGTCAGGGGAGACATGATAACGACATATAAAATACTGCGTGGAATAGACAGGGTGGACAAAGATAGGATGTTCCAGGGAGGGGACACAGAAACAAGAGGCCACAATTGGAAGTTGAAGACACAAATGAGTCAGAGATATTAGGAAGTATTTCTTCAGTCATAGAGCTGTCAGGCAGTGGAATAGCCTAGAAAATGACATAGTGGAGGCAGGAACCATACACAGTTTTAAGACGAGGTTTGATAAAGCTCATGGAGCGGGCAGAGAGAGGGCCCAGTAGCAACCGGTGAAGAGGCGGGGCCAGGAGCTAAGACTCGACCCCTGCAACCACAAATAGGTGAGTACAAATAGGTGAGTACACACACACACACATACATACATATTCAGTCGAGTGTGTAAGCACATAAAAGTGCTCAGGTTTTATTTCCTATTTTCACTGTGGTACTTTTACTTATACTTTTATATACTAAACAGAATCCTTTACTTATCTATCTTAACTTTTTCCACCACATTGTCCTGAGAATTTTCAGCAGTTACCTCTGAAGTTTAGTGCAGGTTAAATATGTTTATTATGAACCCCATACCCATCCTGTGGGCGGTAGTCAAAAGATTACAGATGTATATTACGGGTCCAGGGACTGGACCCCAAAGTTTTGATAGCTGAGCAAGTTACAAAGGTAATGAACTCCAGGTAGATCTAGTCACAATCGTGGCAAGTTACAAAGGTAATTGAAGGAAAAACAACACTAGAAACATTGCCAGGAAGCTCGATGTAAACTGCCTCCTTAAAAGTAGGAAGTTTCATATAAGTTTACTTTGTATAAGCCTCACCTGAATTCTGGAGTTTCCCCAGTCTGCAACTATAATATTGTCATTTGAGTCGACTGCAATGCCAGTAGGGGCATTAAACTGTCCGTTTCCCTCTCCACTCGTACCAAATGTAAATAAGAAGTCTCCATCACTATCAAATACCTAGAGAAAGAGTTGATCACGATATTTTAGCAATTTTAGATATGCAGTAATATGCAGTGTACTGTATTTTCTTACCCCAATGGAAATAAGTCACTTTGTCTGACTATGTTATCCTAGATTATTTACACTATGTATGTTAATTGTACTTAGGTGTACCTGTGCCTAAATAAACTTACTCGTATGGCAGGCAACACACTTGCCTCACACACTGATTATCCGTGATTCGATCCCTGGCCAGGTGCAAACACTGGGCATGTTTTCTTACACCTGCTGTCCCTGCTCACCTAGCAAGCAAGTAGGTACCTGGAAGTTAATCGACTAGTGTGGGTCATATCCTGGGGAGACAAGACTGAAGGACCCTAATAGAAATAAGACAACAGTCCTCGATGACAAAATGACTTTCTTGGGTTATAATAGAGCATAATATAATAGGGCGTAATAGAGGCTCTCTCTGCATTGCAACCCACTATTGTATATACACAATCTCGATGTACTGTTTGCAAAGACATTAAATAAATAAATAAATAACTCTCTGGGGTTAAAAATCTGAACAAAATCTTACTTATCTATCTTTTTAACTGGTAATTGAAGATTGCTGTTATACACTAGCCAAATGACCCTAAAAGGTTAAGCATTTTTAAAGCACTGTAATATATGCGGTAAACAGTAATGAAAGTTGAAAAGAGGTGGCCAGCACAGATCAGTGGGTGTACACACACACAGATCAGGAGCTGTGGCTCAACCCCTGCAACCATATATAGGTGAGAGTTGCGAGGAGCTGAGTCTCAACCCCCTACAAACAATATGGTGAGGATGTGAGCATGCACAAAAATGAAGTCACATTACATGGGGGTAGACTTCCTCATGATAAAAGTACCCACGAGTGTGTGAACTAGATTTGATCTGATTGCAATGAGCCAATCAAAGTAATATGCAAATTCCCGTATTTCAGTACGTATATCACATTTCCTTTCCTCTTTTTATTGCAACTTCTGCTTTCACTTTACATGTATCTGTATAATGCAACACAAAGAAAGTCTTCATAAGAACACAAGCTTTGAAACACACAGGATAATATTCCTTCTAATATTTGTTCCATGTGTAGATTCCTTGTAGGTAGTAGGTTGGTAGACAACAGCCACCCAGGGAGGTACTACCAAGGTCCTGCCAAGTGAGTGTAAAACGAAAGCCTGTAATTGTTTTACATGATGATAGGATTGCTGATGTCTTTTGTCTGTCTCATAAACATGCAAGATTTCAGGTACGTCTTGCTACTTCTACTTACACTTAGGTCACACTACACATACATGTACAAGTATATATATACACACCCCTCTGAGTTTTCTGCTACTTTCTTTCTAGTTTTTGTTCTTGTTTATTTCCTCTTATCTCCATGGGGAAGTGGAACAGAATCTTCCTCTGTAAGCCATGCATGTTGTAAGAGGCAACTAAAATGCTGGGAGCAAGGGGCTAGTAACCCCCTCTCCTGTATAAATTACTAAATTTAAAAAGAGAAACTTTTGTTTTTCTTTTTGGGCCACCCTGCCTCGGTAGGATACGGCCGGTTTTGTTGAAAGAAGAAGTGTAGATTCCTCTCTCCCTGACCAGTCTATTCCTAAAAGTTACACCGATCTCTGCCATGCCTAAATATCTCGAGAGATGAAAACTATTTGGATTAATAACTCCAGATGGTTAATATCCCAGGATAACCCAAGAAAGTCAATGTGATATTTTCATGGGGAAGCCTTGTAGGTCCCTCCTTCAGGATGTGACCCACATCTATCAACTAGTAGCTTTCTTTTATCCCTAATAATATTTTATTACATGTAAACTACATTACCTTTACAGTGCTGAAAAGAAATAAATTATTTGTTTTTGTAACTCTTAGATATTCAATTACTGTTGCGTAACATGCAGCTAACTTTACTAGATTTATTCATATATCTTGCATTATCCAGGGTTCAACCTGGGTATTTGTGGTTAGCCCTTAAACTGTCCAAACAGATCTGTGTTCACATGCGTAGTGCTCCAAAAGTAGATCTACGTTTTTTTTACATATTTTCAATAACAAAAAAAAAAAAAAAACGTAGATCAAAGTTTTTTTTACACGTTTTCAAATGTAAAAAAAAAAAGATCTATTTTTTTTTTACATACTTTCAAATGTCTAAAAAAACATAGATCTACATTTGGACAGTTTAAGGGTTAAGAACTGAACATACTATCACTACATTACAGTACCCAAAATGCTTTATATAAAATCTGGAACACCCTACCTGAAAACTCTAGAACTGCACACACATTCATCACCTTCAAAACTACCATGAGAAAACATCTTATCTCCCTGATACACCCCGTCAACTAACTACACGAATATCACCTGGTGGTTCACACTTACACTCACTCACCCATTTGACCATAAACAGAAATCTCAATCTTAAAATAATGAATCCTAACTAGTCATAAGTTGGTCTGTGATACTCCAATACTGAAACTATGTACTGTGCCAAAACAAAAGCATTCACATTGCTAAACTCACAAACTAGTATTTAGTCACTTAGCCATAATACCAACTTACCTCATAATTTGTAATATTTTAAATTTAAGAATTAATCTAAGTCTGCCCGAAATGCCTAGCCATGCTAGGTGTTCTAGTGGTACACTCTGTAATGCCTAGCCATGCTAGGTGTTCTAGTGGTACACTCTGTAATGCCTAGCCATGCTAGGTGTTCTAGTGGTACACTCTGTAATGCCTAGCCATGCTAGGTGTTCTAGTGGTACACTCTGTAATACCTAGCCATGCTAGGTGTTCTAGTGGTACACTCTGTAATGCCTAGCCATGCTAGGTGTTCTAGTGGTACAGTCTGTAATACCTAGCCATGCTAGGTGTTCTAGTGGTACACTCTGTAATACCTAGCCATGCTAGGTGTTCTAGTGGTACACTCTGTAATGCCTAGCCATGCTAGGTGTTCTAGTGGTACACTCTGTAATGGTTTAGAAAGACACGTAAGCAAACACTATAACATATTTATTAGAAAACGTTTCGGTCCTGGGACCTTGATCACTTCTAACATACAGAGGTAGAAAGACATTATATATAGGCGGAGAGTGAGATGTTGACGCACGTGACCTGAGGAATGTCATAAGAACATAAGAATGGAGGAACACTGTAGAAGGCCTACTGGCCCATGCGAGGCAGGTCCTTATCAAAACAACCTCTGCCTATGATGAGGACCAGTAGACGATGAAATCATGTGACTCCTGTGTTGTTGGGTTGGTGCTGCTTAAGTATCATGTATGCCAATGTTTTTGAAATTTTGTAGTTTCCAGTGTTGCGTTCTATAGTGTCGGTGACGGTGATTAGTGAGGCTTCTAGGCACCGTCGGCGTCTGAGGTCTGGTTCGGTGAGAACGAGTTGTGCCTCGTTCCAGTTCATCAAATGCCCCGTGGAGTCTCTGTGGAGACGATGTAAGGTACGCCTGTGTCCTCCACAGAGAATTTGAATTAAGTGTCTTTTTGAGCATTCATTTGTACCAAACTATTTTCTAACATACCTGCATCAAGATTGTAACCAAATGAACTGTAAACCCAACCATTAATTTCCATGTATTTTTCTACAAAATAGATTTTTTTTACAAGTAAGGTAATACAAGCTAAGACCTTGAGTAGGTGAATGGTTTTGAAAACCGACAAGTTGAAGAACTGAGACACTTATGCAACACATGAGAATCTGCTTTGTATTGGACTGATGAAGCCACTGTGTGGCGATACGTTTCTTCAATAAAGATTCTCATGTGTTGCACAAGTGTCTCAATTCTTCAACTTGTCGGTTTTCAAAACCATTCACCACATCTGTCAGACACTGCAACATCATGGGATCTTGGTACAAAGACTTCAACGCTTGCCCAACCTTTGGATGACGACCTACTTACACAAGTGGCAGGTCCCACTGTGATCCCGCCTCCTCCTGCTACGCCTCACCTGATTACAGTATATAAGCCACGTCTACAGCCCTATGCTGTACATTCTACAAGATTGATGAACTGAACACATCGACTCAAGGCTGAGGGACTGATTACCTCAAACTCCTCCTCATACTCCACTGCTTTGTATTGGACTGATGAAACCACTGTGTGGCGAAACGTTTCTTCAATAAAGATTCTCATGTGTTGCAAAAGTGTCTCAATTCTTCACCTAAGTAGCTTTAAAAAGATATTGAATAAATATATGAGTGAGAAAGGCTGGGTTTGATTAGTATCTGAGGTGAAGAATGAGACAACTGTGTAAAATTTGGGAATGTTTATTCAGGAAATGTTTCACCACTGTGTGGTGGAACATTTCCTTATTCTTCAGCCTGTAGGTTTTCTTGACCATTTATCACAGTGTCTGAGGTATTGAGGTTATTTCCTGGGTAACTCTGGGGAAGGCTGGACCAGTGGGTGGGTGGGAATGATTGGTTTAGAGGAACACCTGCCTGCTTGGGGGCAGCAGGCCTACTGCAATGTTTCCTCCCATTTTTATGTTATCACTTTACAGGAGATAAAACCTCCATGGGGAAGTGGAGAAGAATCCTTCCTCCATAAGCCATGTATGTCATAAGAGGTGACTAAAATGCCGGAAGCAAGGGGCTAGTAACCCCTTCTCCTGTATAAGTTACTAACTGTTAAAAGAAACCACTTTCATTTTTCTTTTTAAGTCACCCTTCCTCAGTGGGATGCAGCCAGTGCATTGAAAAAGATGAGAAAAACATTAAAAAGAAGTCCAATCTCACCTTAACACAGTGATTGTGGAAGTCTGTGATAGCAATATGTCCTCTGCTGTTGACTGCTGCAAAGTGAGGACCAGCAAACTGAAACTCATCAGTTCCTCTGTTACCAAACTTGGTAAGAAGTTTCCCAGACTGTTGAAAAATGCACACACACGATGCTTTGTTGTCCACAACGATGATATGACCATTGTTATCAACACAAACACCTTTGGGTCCTAAGGAGATTATTATCAAGGATTAAGGATTTTATTTCTTTGCATAGTTTACAATGTGTAATTAAATTTTAATTTGCTAAGTACAAGGAAATCAATACTAGTGGCTTTATTTTGTGCCTCGTTATTTTATCACATGTAAACTACATTTTCTGTGTACTGCATAAAAGAAATAAAAATATGAATTTGAATTAATGAGCAATATACAGCAGGCACGTTTGAGCAAGTTAGATAGGAGTGAGTGGGGACAAATGGCTTCTGGGACTTGAGCTGTTGGAGTGTGAGCAGGGTAATATTTCCGAGAAGGAATTCAGGGAAACCGGTTAGCTGGACTTGAGTCCTGGAGGTGGGAAATATAGTGCCTGTACTCTAAAGGAGGGGTTTGGGATATCTGCTGTTTGGAGTGACATTCAAACTGCTGTACATGTGCACCTCTGGCAAGACAATGATCACGTGAATGGTGGTCAAGGTTTCTTTTTCAGGTCACCCTATCTCGGTGGAAGATGGCCAGTGTTAAAAAAAAATAAATACTGATCTTGTCTCATGATACTACTGTACATGTATACCATGACATCTAGAAATGCTGTAATGCAAATGTGAAAATGTAATAACATTGGTATAATTACCGACAACATGGCAGATACAAGGACACACATGCGACTCGAATGTGCAACCGAGGTGCTTTGCATAACAAGGGGCTTCCTATAAAGTAGTAATATATGCCAGTCACCCTAAGTGTATAATATATATACTGCATTCCACTTTACAAAGTTTGTTTTGTATATTAGTTGTAAATGTGTCCTTTTGCCTAACAAATGTAAAAATTTTCATTAAAAGTTACCTGGAGTTTACCTGGAGAGAGTTCCGGGGGTCAACGCCCCCACGGCCCAGTCTGTGACCAGGCCTCCTGGTGGATCAGAGCCTGATCAACCAGGCTGTTGCTGCTGGCTGCACGCAAACCAACATACGAGCCACAGCGCGGCTGGTCAGGAACCGACTTTAGGTGCTTGTCCAGTGCCAGCTTGAAGACTGCCAGGGGTCTGTTGGTAATCCCCCTTATGTATGCTGGGAGGCAGTTGAACAGTCTTGGGCCCCTGACACTTATTGTATGGTCTCTTAACGTGCTAGTGACACCCCTGCTTTTCATTGGGGGGATGGTGCATCGTCTGCCAAGTCTTTTGCTTTCGTAGTGAGTGATTTTCATGTGCAAGTTCGGTACTAGTCCCTCTAGGATTTTCCAGGTGTATATAATCATGTATCTCTCCCACCTGCGTTCCAGGGAATACAGTTTTAGGAACCTCAAGCGCTCCCAGTAATTGAGGTGTTTTATCTCCGTTATGCGTGCCGTGAAGGTTCTCTGTACATTTTCTAGGTCAGCAATTTCACCTGCCTTGAAAGGTGCTGTTAGTGTGCAGCAATATTCCAGCCTAGATAGAACAAGTGACCTGAAGAGTGTCATCATGGGCTTGGCCTCCCTAGTTTTGAAGGTTCTCATTATCCATCCTGTCATTTTTCTAGCAGATGCAATTGATACAATGTTATGGTCCTTGAAGGTGAGATCCTCTGATATGATCACTCCCAGGTCTTTGACGTTGGTGTTTCGCTCTATTTTGTGGCCAGAATTTGTTTTGTACTCTGATGAAGATTTAATTTCCTCGTGTTTACCATATCTGAGTACAATTGAAATTTCTCATCGTTGAACTTCATATTGTTTTCTGCAGCCCACTGAAAGATTCGGTTGATGTCCGCCTGGAGCCTTGCAGTGTCTGCAGTGGAAGACACTGTCATGAAGATTCGGGTGTCATCTGCAAAGGAAGACACGGTGCTGTGGCTGACATCCTTGTCTATGTCCGATATGAGGATGAGGAACAAGATGGAAGCAAGTACTGTGCCTTGTGGAACAGAGCTTTTCACCATAGCTGCCTCGGACTTTACTCTGTTGACGACTACTCTCTGTGTTCTGTTAGTGAGGAAATTAAAGATCCATCGACCGACTTTTCCTGTTATTCCTTCAGCACACATTTTGTGCGCTATTACGCCATGGTCACACTTGTCGAAGGCTTTTGCAAAGTCTGTGTATATTACATCTGCATTCTTTTTATCTTCTAGTGCATTTAGGACCTTGTCGTAGTGATCCAATAGTTGAGACAGACAGGAGCGACCTGTTCTAAACCCATGTTGCCCTGGGTTGTGTAACTGATGGGTTTCTAGATGGGTGGTGATCGTGCTTCTTAGGACCCTTTCAAAGATTTTTATGATATGGGATGTTAGTGCTATAGGTCTGTAGTTCTTTGCTGTTGCTTTACTGCCCCCTTTGTGGAGTGGGGCTATGTCTGTTGTTTTTAGTAACTGTGGGACGACCCCCGTGTCCATGCTCCCTCTCCATAGGATGGAAAAGGCTCGTGATAGGGGCTTCTTGCAGTTCTTGATGAACATGGAGTTCCATGATTCTGGCCCTGGGGCAGAGTGCATGGGCATGTCATTTATCACCTGTTTGAAGTCATTTGGCGTCAGGATAACATCGGATAGACTTGTGTTAACCAAATTTTGTGGCTCTCTCATAAAAAATTCATTTTGATCTTCGACTCTCAGTCTGGTTAGCGGCTTGCTAAAAACTGAGTCATATTGGGACTTGAGTAGCTCACTCATTTCCTTGCTGTCATCTCTGTAGGACCCATCTTGTTTAAGTAGGGGCCCAATACTGGACGTTGTTCTCGACTTTGATTTGGCATAGGAGAAGAAATACTTTGGGTTTCTTTCGATTTCACTTATGGCTTTTAGTTCTTCCCGCGATTCCTGACTCCTATAAGATTCCTTTAGCTTGCGTTCGATGCTTGCTATTTCTCTGACCAGTGTCTCCCTACGCATTTCAGATACATTGACCTCTTTTAGCCGCTCTGTTATTCTTTTCCGTCGCCTGTAAAGGGAGTGCCTGTCTCTTTCTATTTTACATCTACTCCTCCTTTTTCTTAGAGGAATAAGCCTTGTGCATACATCGAGTGCCACCAAGTTAATCTGTTCTAGGCATAAATTGGGGTCTGTGTTGCTTAGTATATCTTCCCAGCTTATATCGGTTAGGACTTGGTTTACTTGGTCCCACTTTATGTTTTTGTTATTGAAGTTGAATTTGGTGAATGCTCCCTCGTGACTAGTCTCATTATGTCGGTCTGGGGCTCCACGCATACATGTCTGAACCTCAATTATGTTGTGATCTGAGTATATTTTTTTGATATGGTGACATTTCTTATCAGATCATCATTGTTAGTGAAGATGAGGTCTAGTGTATTCTCCAGTCTAGTAGGCTCTATTATTTGCTGGTTTAAATTGAATTTTGTGCAGAGATTTAAAAGCTCGTGTGAGTGTGTTTTCATCAGAGCTGCCTCCTGGTGTTATTACTGCAACAATATTATTTGCTATATTCCTCCATTTTAGGTGCCTTAAGTTGAAATCCCCAGGAGCAAGATGTTGGGTGCAGGAGCTGGAAGATTTTCCAGTCAGTGGTCAATTTTTAACAGCTGTTCCTGGGATTGCTGGGATGTTGCATCCGGAGGCTTGTAGACTACCACAATGACTAGGTTTTGGTTCTCGACCTTTACTGCTAAAACTTCCACTACATCATTTGAGGCATTTAGCAGTTCTGTGCAAACAAGTGACTCTGCAATGTACAGGCCAACCCCCCCCCCCCTTTTGCCTGTTCACTCTGTCACATCTGTATAGGTTGTAACCTGGGATCCATATTTCGTTGTCCAAGTGATCCTTTATGTGGGTCTCGGTGAAAACCGCGAACATTGCCTTTGCCTCTGCAAGCAGTCCACGGATGAAAGGTATTTTGTTGTTTGTTGCTGGCTTTAGACCCTGTATATTTGCAAAGAAGAATGTCATCGGACTGGTGGTATTGTTGGTACTGGGGGGGGATTTTTTTTCCGGCATTAGTATCTGTATCTGTTGGTTTGGAGTGGAGGCCATCGACTGTGGTTCCACTCCAGGAATGACTGGATTTGGTGTATGATTTCTGCCATTTCCTGCCAGTTTTTTTTCCTTCCTGGCACTAAAAAAACCTCTCCCTCTTGAGTGGCTGTGGCTACCCAGGTTTTCCCATGGCCTGGATGTTTTGTAACTTTTTGTACCCTTTAGATGGTGTGCCTGGCAATTTAAGTTATAGCAGTCTTTCCTGTACTGAAAAGGTACACATTTCAGGGTGAAAAAGCTTACAGGAAGGGAGTTTGCATTTTCCTGTTGTCATATGGGCATGGCATTTTCTAGGGTGGTCATAGTTGCACGTCCCGTCTGTTTTTCCAGATTTCCCATGTCTGCAGATTCCAAGTGCATAGTATGTGCACAGGCTTGGTTTCCGTTTGCCTTGGGTTTCTGTGACTGTATTCCCTGTTGGTGCATGTTTCCCTGTCTTATTCCTATCCTCCCTAGCACCAACAATGGAGCTCCCACCAGTTGTTTTTGGTAATATATCCTCACTATTGCTAGTGGAGTCCTCTTGTTTGCTATTTCCTGCGGTATTTCTAGTTTGCAATATTGGTTTTATCTTATCTTTGACTACACTTGTTTCCCCACTACGGCTCCTGTCCCCTATGAGGTCATTTATATGTATTCCTTCCTGCGTATAATTCCCGACTACCAGGACAAAATCTCCAGCTTCACCATTACTGTCTCCCAGGACAGCACCTCCAGCTTCACCATTACTGTCTCCCAGGACAGCACCTCCAGCTTCACCATTACTGTCTCCCAGGACAGCACCTCCAGCTTCACCATTACTGTCTCCCAGGACAGCACCTCCAGCTTCACCATTACTGTCTCCCAGGACAGCACCTCCAGCTTCACCATTACTGTCTCCCAGGACAGCACCTCCAGCTTCACCATTACTCTCTCCCAGGACAGCACCTCCAGCTTCACCATTACTGTCTCCCAGGACAGCACTTCCAGCTTCACCATTACTGTCTCCCAGGACAGCACTATCAGCCCCACATTTACTGACTACCAGGACATCACCTCCAGCCTTACAGTTTCTGACTACATGGCCAGTATCAAGGGCAGTACCATTCAGCCCAGACTTTTTATGTTCCCATCTGTTGTAGAAAGCTTCCAGGTTTTCTATGAAAGCAGCTTTGATGTTATCCTCTTTTAATACCCTTGTGATTTTAGTCCACAGATTTTCCTCATTTGGGCATACCCAAAAACACTTCCCTGTTTTAATACTGCTTGTAGCTAGTTCTTGGATATCTGCACAAGGGGCGTGACACCAATTTCCACAAAAATGACAATTTATGCATGTGGAAGCCCGTTTGTTTGATTGACTGCAGACAAACCATTCATCTTATCAACTCAAAATGTTTCTACATTTGTAAACAAAATTCACTAAACTTAAAAAACTCACCTATCAGTTTTCCATGACCAATTCGACTGATGTATTTTCCGGAAGGTTCAAATATAGATACCCATTTGTTTTCATAGTCAGCCACAACGTAGTTGCCATTCGGTAAAGCAGCCACTCCCGTCGGCCTCTGCATCTGACCAATACCACGACCTCGCACGCCGAACCTTTATGCAGAAAAGTAGAAATGCAATTAACTCAACCTGAGAACTATAAACATGATAAATACAAATAGTAACTTGGAAATTACAAGGGAATCCTATAATTATCTTTATGAGATTTTCAAAGATAGTTTATGCTTTAAATGTATCATAAGCAAAAAATTAACATCAATGTTATATGTATGTATTAATGAGAGTATAACAAACCTAACAACAGGTCTGTAGGCAGACGAAGGCACCTTTTATCAACTGGAGCTCTCAATGTCAAAAAGTTATTCATGTCTTTAATTGAATAATGTGTAAAATATGCATCATTACAGGAACTGCCAGCAATGCACACATAAATTTACAATACAAATTAAAAAAAAAAAAATTTTTTATAGTTTTATACACTAACAGCCGTACTTTGGGGCCCAGTCCCTGGACCCATTATGTGCCTCTGTAATCTTTCGACTACCACCCACAGGATGGATATGGGCTGCATAACGAGGATGTTATAGTTTAAAAAATTCAGGTAAGCTTGCTCTTCCTGCTGCCATGATTTATCAAAGACTCAATGAATGTCACACACTCGCATATATTATGAAATAATTGCAAAAGAGCAATAAAAAATTATAAATAACTACAGAAGAGAAAGCCATTACCCTGAATGAATCTGCCTGGATTTTGTACTTTATTTCTTCAACATAGCAAGCTCCTGATGTGTTGATTTCAACATGAAATGCCTAGAGCTGTCATTCAACCCCCTTGTGTCTATTTTGCATTCACCTACATGTTGGTAAACACCATCCTCAACACTGCATGCCAGATGCTCATTGCTCATCACCGACCATAATGACTTATCTTTCGAAAAAGATGTACGTCGGGGCAGATTTTCCCTGCAGAAGTGGAGAAGTCTTCCTCTGAAAGCCATGCCTGTCACAAGTGACGACTAAAATGCTGGGAGCAAGGGGCTAGTAACCCTGTATAAATTACTAAATGTAAACAGAAAAACTTTTGTTTCTTCTTTTTTCAGGTCATCCTACCTCAGTGAGAGGTGGCTGATGCATTAGAAAACAAAAATGTAGACAGATGAATAAATAAAAATTAAGGAGTACAATATACTATACATCTTGCATGCAGTGATAAACTTTTCTATTTTCTTAAAATTTCTGCTGGAGTCCACCAAAATTTCCAAAGAGATTGCAATAATTGCAAAGTGTTCTACCTCTGATCGTATATTGTGAAGAAATAAACCCATGTGGATCATTCTGTGCAAGAAATAGAGAAGACTTGATCCTCTGTCTACTAATTACAATTATGACTGTCTCTCTGACCAGTCAAGACTACTAGACAGTCATTGTTAAAATTAAAGAAAAATAATCTCATTTTCTGATGTGTTTCCACACAGATAATAATAGAGCTGATAAATGAGACTTGTGCAACATTTTATCTTTATTCTGAAATAAAGATACTTAAATATTGCACAAATGTCTCATTTTATAATAGTTTTGTAAGCCATTTATTTACAGTAGTGGAGCTCACACACTGACATTCCTACACTGCATCAGAAGTGAAGCCTTATCTTATCTTACCTCAGCTTACACTCTCCAGTGAGGGTAAATACTTGGACGCACTGATTGTTAGAATCTGCTACTGCAATGCGACCATCTTTGAAGTTACTAAATGCAATACCCTGCAAAAGAAAAGCATTTTAATCACTGAATATATACAGTGTGATTTGTACAAGGCCAAAGTCAGGCCTAAACATCATCATAAGCTTCTCCCTCCTATGTGTGGGTTACATTTGTGTATTGGTTAATGTTGTATACATCTTTATACCTACTGAGTTTACCTGGAGAGAGTTCCGGGGGTCAACGCCCCTGCGGCCCGGTCTGAGACCAGGCCTCCTGGTGGATCAGAGCCTGATCAACCAGGCTGTTGCTGCTGGCTGCACGCAAACCAACATACGAGCCACAGCCCGGCTGATCCGGAACTGACTTTAGGTGCTTGTCCAGTGCCAGCTTGAAGACTGCCAGGGGTCTGTTGGTAATCCCCCTTATGTGTGCTGGGAGGCAGTTGAACGTCTCGGGCCCCTGACACTTATTGTATGGTCTCTTAACGTGCTAGTGACACCCCTGCTTTTCATTGGGGGGATGGTGCATCGTCTGCCAAGTCTTTTGCTTTCGTAGTGGGTGATTTTCGTGTGCAAGTTCGGTACTAGTCCCTCTAGGATTTTCCAGGTGTATTAATCATGTATCTCTCCCTCCTGCGTTCCAGGGAATACAGGTTTAGGAACCTCAAGCGCTCCCAATAATTGAGGTGTTTTATCTCCGTTATGCGCGCCGTGAAAGTTCTCTGTACATTTTCTAGGTCGGCAATTTCACCTGCCTTGAAAGGTGCTGTTAGTGTGCAGCAATATTCCAGCCTAGATAGAACAAGTGACCTGAAGAGTGTCATCATGGGCTTGGCCTCCCTAGTTTTGAAGGTTCTCATTATCCATCCTGTCATTTTTCTAGCAGATGCGATTGATACAATGTTATGGTCCTTGAAGGTGAGATCCTCCGACATGATCACTCCCAGGTCTTTGACGTTGGTGTTTCGCTCTATTTTGTGGCCAGAATTTGTTTTGTACTCTGATGAAGATTTAATTTCCTCATGTTTACCATATCTGAGTAATTGAAATTTCTCATCGTTGAACTTCATATTGTTTTCTGCAGCCCACTGAAAGATTTGGTTGATGTCTGCCTGGAGCTCTGCAGTGTCTGCAATGGAAGACACTGTCATGCAGATTCGGGTGTCATCTGCAAAGGAAGACACGGTGCTGTGGCTGACATCCTTGTCTATGTCGGATATAAGGATGAGGAACAAGATGGGAGCGAGTACTGTGCCTTGTGGAACAGAGCTTTTCACCGTAGCTGCATCGGACTTTACTCTGTTGACGACTACTCTCTGTGTTCTGTTAGTGAGGAAATTATAGATCCATCGACCGACTTTTCCTGTTATTCCTTTAGCACGCATTTTGTGCGCTATTACGCCATGGTCACACTTGTCGAAGGCTTTTGCAAAGTCTGTATATATTACATCTGCATTCTTTTTGTCTTCTAGTGCATTTAGGACCTTGTCGTAGTGGTCCAATAGTTGAGACAGACAGGAGCGACCTGTTCTAAACCCATGTTGCCCTGGGTTGTGTAACTGATGGGTTTCTAGATGCGTGGTGATCTTGCTTCTTAGGACCCTTTCAAAGATTTTTATGATATGGGATGTTAGTGCTATTGGTCTGTAGTTCTTTGCTGTTGCTTTACTGCCCCCTTTGTGGAGTGGGGCTATGTCTGTTGTTTTAGTAACTGTGGGACGACCCCCGTGTCCATGCTCCCTCTCCATAGGATGGAAAAGGCTCGTGATAGGGGCTTCTTGCAGTTCTTGATGAACACAGAGTTCCATGAGTCTGGCCCTGGGGCAGAGTGCATGGCATGTCATTTATCGCCTGTTCGAAGTCATTTGGCGTCAGGATAACATCGGATAGGCTTGTGTTAATCAAATTTTGTGGCTCTCTCATAAAAAATTCATTTTGATCTTCGACTCTCAGTCTGGTTAGCGGCTTGCTAAAAACTGAGTCATATTGGGAACTTGAGTAGCTCACTCATTTCCTGTTGTCATCTGTGTAGGACCCATCTTGTTTAAGTAGGGGCCCAATACTGGACGTTGTTCTCGATTTTGATTTGGCATAGGAGAAGAAATACTTTGGGTTTCTTTCGATTTCATTTATGGCTTTTAGTTCTTCCGCGATTCCTGACTCCTAAAGGATTCTTTTAGCTTAAGTTCGATGCTTGCTATTTCTCTGACCAGTGTCTCCCTACGCATTTCAGATATATTGACCTCTTTTAGCCGCTCTGTTATTCTTTTCCGTCGCCTGTAAAGGGAGCGCCTGTCTCTTTCTGTTTTACATCTACTCCTCCTTTTTCTTAGAGGAATAAGCCTTGTGCATACATCGAGTGCCACCGAGTTAATCTGTTCTAGGCATAAGTTGGGGTCTGTGTTGCTTAGTATATCTTCCCAGCTTATATCGGTTAGGACTTGGTTACTTGGTCCCACTTTATGTTTTTGTTATTGAAGTTGAATTTGGTGAATGCTCCCTCGTGACTATTCCTTATGTCGGTCTGGGGCTCCGCGCATACATGACTGAACCTCAATTATGTTGTGATCTGAGTATATTGTTTTTGATATGGTGATATTTCTTATCAGATCATCATTGTTAGTGAAGATGAGGTCTGTGTATTCTCCAGTCTAGTAGGCTCTATTATTTGCTGGTTTAAATTGAATTTTGTGCAGAGATTTAAAAGCTCGCGTGAGTGTGAGTTTTCATCAGAGCTGCCTCTGGTGTTATTACTGCACAATATTATTTGCTATATTCCTCCATTTTAGGTGCCTTAAGTTGAAATCCCCCAGGAGCAAGATGTTGGGTGCAGGAGCTGGAAGGTTTTCCAGACAGTGGTCAATTTTAACAGCTGTTCCTGGAATTGCTGGGATGTTGCATCCGGAGGCTTGTAGACTATCACAATGACTAGGTTTTGGTTCTCGACCTTTACTGCTAAAACTTCCACTACATCATTTGAGGCATTTAGCAGTTCTGTGCAAACAAGTGACTCTGCAATGTACAGGCCAACCCCCCCTTTTGCCTGTTCACTCTGTCACATCTGTATAGGTTGTAACCTGGGATCCATATTTCGTGTCCAAGTGATTCCTTTATGTGGGTCTCAGTGAAAGCCGCGAACATTGCCTTTGCCTCTGCAAGCAGTCCACGGATGAAAGGTATTTTGTTGTTTGTTGCTGGCTTTAGACCCTGTATATTTGCAAAGAAGAATGTTATCGGACTGGTGGGTATTGTTGGTACTGGGGGGGGATTTTTTTTCCGGCATTAGTATCTGTATCTGTTGGTTTGGAGTGGAGGCCATCAACTGTGGTTCCACTCCAGGAATGACTGGATTTGGTGTACGATTTCTGCCATTTCCTGCCAGTTTTTTTTCCTTCCTGGCACTAAAAAAACCTCTCCCTCTTGAGTGGCTGTGGCTACCAGGTTTTCCCATGGCCTGGATGTTTTGTATCTTTTTGTCCCCTTTAGATGGTATGCCTGGCAATTTAAGTTATAGCACAGTTTTTTCCTGTACTGAAGAGGTACACAGTTCAGGGTGAAAAAGCTTACAGGAAGGGAGTTTGCATTTTCCTGTTGTCATATGGGCATGGCATTTCCTAGGGTGGTCATAGTTGCACGTCCCATCTGTTTTTCCAGATTTCCCATGCCAGCAGATACCGAGTGCATAGTATGTGCACAGGCTTGGTTTCCGTTTGCCTTGGGTTTCTGTGACTGTATTCCCTGTTGGTGCTGTTTCCCTGTCTTACTTCTACCCTCCCTAGCACCAACAATGGAGCCCCCACCATTTGTTTTTGGTAATATACCCTCACTATTGCTAGTGGAGTCCTCTTGTTTGCTATTTCCTGCGGTATTTCTAGTTTGCAATATTGGTTTTATCTTATCTTTGACTACACTTGTTTCCCTACTATGGCTCCTGTCCCCTATGAGGTCATTCATATGTATTCCTTCCTGCGTTTTAATTCCCGACTACCTGGACAAAATCTCCAGCTTCACATTACTGTCTCCCAGGACAGCATCTCCAGCTTCCCCATTACTGTCTCCCAGGACAGCATCTCCAGCTTCACCATTACTGTCTCCAGGACAGCACCTCCAGCTTCACCATTACTGTCCCCCAGGACAGCACCTCCAGCTTCCCCATTACTGTCTCCAGGACAGCACTATCAGCCCCCCATTTACTGACTACCAGGACATCATCTCCAGCCTTACAGTTTCTGACTACATGGCCAGTATCAAGGGCAGTACCATTCAGCCCGGACTTTTTATGTTCCCATCTGTTGTAGAAAGCTTCCAGGTTTTCTATGAAAGCAGCTTTGATGTTGACCTCTTTTAATACCCTTGTGATTTTAGTCCACAGATTTATCTCATTTGGGCATACCCAAAAACACTTCCCTGTTTTAATACTGCTTGTAGCTAGTTCTTGGATATCTGCACAAGGGGCGTGACACCAATTTCCACAAAAAATGACAATTTATGCATGTGGAAGCCGTTTGTTTGACTGACCACAGACTACACACAGCTTCATAATGATTTGAATGGTTGATTTACTGCAATTCTACTAGCAACCTCTTGAATATTCTATTAATAACCTGCTAGGTGGTGCACAACGAAACTGTTTGAAACCAGTCCAGGGTTCGGACCAGTCAAGGGTTCGGACCAGTCAAGGGTTCGGACCAGTCTATCTGATCTGATCAGTGGGTCACTTATTTAAACCATACTGGTCGGTTTATTTGAGCTAACACATGAAGGATCTACTGGAAATTATCTACCCGAGTAATATGTGATTTGATTGATACAAAAGTATAACTTGCGTGTTGAAGAGCCGGTGACTGCTGGCACTCCTACAATGACGAACGGTCGAGCCTCCACCTTTGTTTATCAATCGCTGTATCTAGCTTCTCTATTTTTTTTTTTCCGTCTCCACCACAATAAATGCTATATTATCACTATAGTTGACTGGTGCAAATTTTGGAGGAAGGGCGCTTTTTCTGTAGTAATAATTGCTTCTCGTTGTGTATATTGCGACCGCTGGTAACTACAGGTTATATGAAATTCACAGTAACGTCTGGTATTTCAAGAAAAAGAAACTAATGAAAGTCACTCCACTTCACTAAGTACCATTATAAAACTGGTTAGTTGCTACTACAACACTGTATTCTGCTATTCACTGGTATCACTAGATTATATGCGAGTACACTAGCAGGCCAGGAAGATTATTAAAAACAGTGACCTGTGGTAAGTTTCTGGCGACTTCTGGCACCTGCCTCTATAGGCTTATCACTTCATTTACAAATTCACCTGTTTTCAAATGACACTTTAGCCTTTATCATCAATATACTAGGGAGCCACTGTAGTATACACTATACACTATGTATACTCAATGCTTTCAGGGAGACTTTCTTTCCTCTGACACAAAGTTCAATATTATTATTTTTCCACACGGGACAGGCCTATGATTCCCCTCTGGCAGTAAACTCTGCTAGGAAGTGCACACTAATTCTCCTTTTTTTACTCAGTATATAATGTTTTCCGCCCAAGATTGGTTCCAGGCGCTAGAGGGATGTATCGTATAGGATTGATGACACAAATTAAAGTTCTAGCACGTAAGAGCGACCGTGAAAACACCAGAAAAAACCGGGAGCACAACGAGGCACGCTGACACGCTATGACACTAACAGTGTGAGTACCAGAAAATAAAAAATTCTTAGAAGAAATTCAAACTTGTAGCAAGGTATCAATTAGATTACCAGACTACTAAAGAGCAGGGATCCCAATTTGTGACCCGAAGGCCACAAGTGGCCCTTATAGGAAATGGATGCAGCCCTTGCATGAAATTATGAATTCACTTTTATGTAGGTTCCACACTGCAGCATCAACAATTACAAAATAGTTATTATTATTCATAAAAATTACAAAAATTACAAATTGCAGCCCGCCCTTAAATTTGGCTTTTCAAATTGATCCTTTTATACTAAAAGGTTGAGGACTACTGGTATAGCAATCAGAAACTGCCGTGTACTGGAAAGTTTGATGAAGGCTTTTAACTACATAATAAATGAATTTTACTGCTATATATTATAGTACCCAAAAAATTAAACATAACTCATTACCTGGGGATTAACAAATTCTCCGCGATTACGTCCTCTTCGCCCGACTCTCAAAAGCATGTCATCTTCAATGGGGTTAGTCCTGCGGGAGCACGATGAACGGAGTGACAGAGGCCTTCGAGATGTTCGTGATCTTGACGTAACCTAGAATTATAATAATACAGTAATAGTATTTTTTCAGCATGATACAATGTTTGTAAAGAAATGAGCGATATTTAGTTGTACAAGCACCTAAAGTCAGTTCCGGATCAGCCGGGCTGTGGCTCGTATGTTGGTTTGCGTGCAGCCAGCAGCAACAGCCTGGTTGATCAGGCTCTGATCCACCAGGAGGCCTGGTCTCAGACCGGGCCGCGGGGGCGTTGACCCCCGGAACTCTCTCCAGGTAAACTCCAGGTACACGCAGAAAGCCCCTAATTATGCAGAGAATCTGAGGCAAGCTTAATCCTAACTTAAGAATACAATGGCAATGATGAATGTTTTAATGTACAAAAACTACCTGGCAATGAAAAGTGTCGGATCAATAAGAATTTCAGTATTTTACGCTGAGAATTTTCAACTAAAAGAAAACATAGGTCCAAAGTTCTTGTTCATAAAGAAGGGCAATAGTTCTAGAAAGATTTAAATGAAATTATCAACCACAGTTTTTTCTAAATTAAGTGAGAAAAATTAAGACAAAAATATTATTATTCCAATACATTTATAGTATTAAAAAACTTGAACCCATTAAGTACGGAAGAAAAAAGATGAGTAACACTAAGTGTGGCTCTCAAGGTGACACTGATCCTTCAATAAATGTAGTCAAGGGCTACTAATCAAAGGCACTGAGGATACACTCACCTTCCTTGATCAACCTTGATTATGTTCTACTATTCAAGTACTCATGAATATTACAACAGTGATCTTTATATAAGAGCAGTGCTTGACACCAATACATAAATGACAACAAATATTCCTTTATACAACCCTAGCCGAATCGCTATCTACATTATACTTTACTTTAACCTCACCTACAATACAACTTCAGAATTTTCTTACATCAAAGATTAGATCAATATTAAAAATATTAACACAAAACTTACACATGTATTACAAAATACTATATATACCGCATATATTACAGACCTTGCCTTGGCAGGAAATGGCCAGTGGGTTAATAAAATACATTACAGTCCAACTAATGGTTACCTGTGTAGAGTGTGATGTCTGCCTAGCCAAAGTGTGAGGAGGAACTGAGCGTTGGCTGCTGCCGCTATCTTCATCTAATGCAGCTGTAGCGGTGATTGTGAAAGGACTACCATTGATTGGCTGCCCATAAAGCAGTACTTCTAATGAGTAGATTCCTTCTGTATGTACTGTAAAGGCCACTTCATATGTTCCATTATTCAGATCTAGTACTTGAGGTTGGCACAGTTCCTCTCTAGATGAAGAGGGACTTTTGCTGGAAGCGCGTGGGGATAAGGAGGCACGTGGAGAGCTTGAGCCGTGGCGCGGCACTATTGTACTTGTTCTTGACATAGCAGCAGTGACCTCAGCACCACCACAAGTTGCTTTTTCTCCCTTATGGTCTCTAGTTACTACAGTTACAATGGACCCACGACTTACAGTCACCTGTAATGATACAGTTACACATTTCTTCTATATCAGTTAAACTTTAAACAGTATGGAATCCACGACTTACAGTCACTTGCAACAATATAGTTAAACATTTTTCTATACGAGTTAAACTTTCAAGCAGTACCTGTACTCGAGAACAGATAATGAAAACCATTAAGTCAAGGACAATTAATGTGAAGAATATACAATACCTAGGACATTACATACACAGATTCTGAACCAGTGTGATTGTACTGTATGGTCATTGAACAGAAAAAGGTTCTGCAAGCAAAGATTTGTAAAATGATTTTTATAATGCCAGTGGCCCTGTTCTGAAGTGCCCCTTACACTACACCATAACTTGCAGGACTGTTATCATTTTGTAAACTTTCAGAGAGTTCTTTGAGAAACAATGTTTCTAACACAGCAGTAGTTTGTCTTTTGCCATTCTTCTTTATACAGTAGGATCCCTTTATCTGTGGGGGATACATTCCAAGGACCTGCCGTGGATACTGAAACCGTGGACAGTAAGATAAGATAAGATTTCGTTCGGATTTTTAACCCCGGAGGGTTAGCCACCCAGGATAACCCAAGAAAGTCAGTGCGTCATCGAGGACTGTCTAACTTATTTCCATTGTGGTCCTTAATCTTGTCCCCCAGGATGCGACCCACACCAGTCGACTAACACCCAGGTACCTATTTGCTGCTAGGTGAACAGGACAACAGGTGTAAGGAAACGTGTCGAAATGTTTCCACCCGCCGGGAATCGAACCCGGGCCCTCCGTGTGTGAAGCGGGAGCTTTACCCACCAGGCCACCTATACATACCTATCATAAAGTTTGATAAATTATGCACAATAAGTGGAGAATTATCGCTTTTTCACTGATGGAAAGCACTTCACAACTTCTCTTAGGCTTTGAAGAGCTGCCAACTTCTCTATTTTTGCACTTTGGGGTCATTAGTATGCAAAATTAAAAGGTATTTTCAGGCCACAGTAAACCATGGATAACAAACTGCAGATACAGTATCAGTGGATATGGGGGTTCTACTGTACAGTGAAACCTCAGTATTTGAACTTAATTTGTTCCAGGAGGCTGCTCAAGTGCCGATCTATTCGAGTACCAAAGAAAATTTTCCCAATTTTCTTTTTTGGTTGGCTGTTATTACTAGTCTCTGTAGGCCCCATGGTGACTTATTTATACAAACTAAAAAAACACCAAAAAATGCAAAGAAAAGCTAAATAGTTCACAGCAAAGTTCTGGCAGGTTGTGTTTGTTTGGCCGAGTGCCGAGCAAACGGTCAAGTACCGAGCAATTTTTTTTACCAAACAAAGCAATCAAATGCCAAATTGTTCGAGTAGGGAGCTGTTCGAGTACTGAGGTTCCACTTTATTCCTAAGTTGACTTACAGGTTACATTAGTAAGCTTAACGTTTTAACATTCAAGAGATAAACCCTTTTAAACATGGTAAGCTGGTGTTAATATGAATGAGTATATAAAATCTGCTACAAACTTTATTCCCTTGATATGGGAAAATAAAATCTATCACTATTCTCAGAGAAATAGAATTCTGTCATATAGAAGGGAATATAATCCCTTTCTGTATTTCCAAAGAGCCACTCAAGAATAATAATAAAAAAAATAATAATAATCCTGTAATTGTTTTACATGATGGTAGGATTGCTGGTGTCTTTTGTCAGTCTCATAAACATGCAAGATTTCAGGTACGTCTTGTTACTTCTACTTACACTTAGGTCACACTACACATACATGTACAAGCATTTATATACACATCCCTCTGGGTATTCTTCTATTTTCTTTCTAGTTCTTGTTCTTGTTTATTTCCTCTTATCTCCATGGGGAAGTGGAACAGAATTCTTCCTCCGTAAGCCATGTGTGTTGTAAGATGCGACTAAAATGCCGGGAGCAAGGGGCTAGTAACCCCTTCTCCCGTATAAATTACTAAATTTAAAAGAGAAACTTTCGTTTTTCTTTTTGGGCCACCGTACCTCGGTAGGATACGGCCGGTGTGTTGAAAGAAAGAAAGAAATAATAATAATAATCCCTTCTCTTGAATAAATTACTAAATGTAAAAAAAGAAACTTGCTTCTTCTTTATCAGGTCACCCTGCTCTGGTGGGAGATGGCTCGTGTTGAAAAATTAACAATAAATTCACGTACATGTATATCTTTACCATAGTACGTATACAGGTTATGTAGTTTACATGTAATAAAGTCATAAGATTTACCTGCCAATATTAAGTGTACAGAGGTCAAGCTGAAAAGTAAAGAAATCAAATATTTGTTTTTTAAGCTAGTGTATGTAGGCACTCGACCATTTAATTAATATTAATGAAGCATCGTTATTAAAATTGGTTACTGATGAGCAGGAACTCTTAACATGTACAGTATACAGAGAATACTATCACTGGGTCAGTGGGCCACCAGCAGCAACAGTTTGGTTGACCAGGCTAGCACCAGATGAGCCTGGCCCATGGCTGGGCTCCAGAAGTAGACAAACCCTTGAAGGAGCTTTTATTTTCAGAGGTTTTGTTTGGTGAAATAGCTTGACAAGACTTAATATTATCTATACTGAGCAAAACATCTGTACGAAAGGTTCATCCATAAACAACATTTTTCTACATATATATTAATACAGTCGCCTTCTTCTTTCAACGCACCGACTGTATTCCACTGAGGCGGGGCGGCCCAAAAGGAAAAACAAAAGTTTCTCCTTTTAAATTTAGTAATACGTACAGTGGAACACCAGTTCTCGTCTTTAATCCGTTCCAGAAAGTCGGCCGAAAACCAATTTGTGCAAAACTGAAGTAATATTTCCCATAAGAAATAATGGGAATCCAATTAATCCGTTCCAGACACTCAAATATATTAACAAAAAATATATTTTATAGAGAATTTTTATAGTTTTTCATACAGAAAACAATGAGAAATAAATATAAAGGACTAATGAAAAGGATAAATGAATGTTTAAATCACTTTTACCTTTACTGAAGACTTGTTGGTACAGTGGACCCCCGCTTAACGATCACCTCCAAATGCGACCAATTATGTAAGTGTATTTATGTAAGTGCGTTTGTACGTACATTTGGGGGACTGAAATGGACTAATCTACTTCACAATAATCCTTGGGAAAAATTTCGTCAGTACTGCACCTGACATACTACTGAATGAAACAAGTTCGTTAACCGGTCCACAGATATGAAGACATCGAGGAGCGAAGGGATCCTACAGTCACTACCACCCTCTACCACAATCATTACCACCATCACTACCACCCTCTACCACAATCATTACCACCATCACTACCACCCTCTACCACAATCATTACCACCATCACTACCACCCTCTACCACAATCATTACCACCATCACTACCACCCTCTACCACAATCATTACCACCATCACTACCACCCTCTACCACAATCATTACCACCATCACTACCACCCTCTACCACAATCATTACCACCATCACTACCACCCTCTACCACAATCATTACCACCATCACTACCACCCTCTACCACAATCATTACCACCATCACTACCACCCTCTACCCTCCATCAAATCAAATTACCACCATCACTACCACCCTCTACCACAATCATTACCACCATCACTACCACCCTCTATCCACAATCATTACCACCATCACTACCACCCTCTACCACAATCATTACCACTATCACTACCACCCTCTACCACAATCATTACCACCATCACTACCACCCTCTACCACAATCATTACCACCATCACTACCACCCTCTACAAGTAACAAAGGCAGACTGTGTCACAAATGTATGAGCGGCTGCATCCCAGGGGCAGGCAGACGCATCCGGTACAGACGAATTCTGGGCGGATGTACAAAAATGGGGAAAATTTCGCCGAAAGAAGTGGTCGAAAATTGAACTGTACGATAACCAGACTGGACGAAAACCAGGGTTCCACTGTATATACAAGAGAAGGGGTTATTAGCCCCTTGCTCCTGGCATTTTAGTCGCGTCTTACAACACGCATGGTTTACAGGGGAAGAATTCTGTTTCACTTCCCTTTGGAGAATTAATATAGTCATTCACAGGAAATATTAATTAGACTAAAATTCAAACAAAATACAAATATATAAAAATAAAGATACTATACTGTATACAACATAAAAACTGATATAAAACAGCCCATGCAGTGTAATTTAAGCTGAGAAAAATTACAAAGTACAGTATAAAATTAGCAAGCATATGATTTTTTTTTAGCTAAATACAACAAAACCTCGAATCAATGGCTGCCAGTTTAATAGAGTTTGTATTTAACAGATTAAATCCAGGGCCGGACAGCATTTCATAACAACAGACTAGAGCCATTAAATCCAGAATAGTTTATTATAACAGTCCAAGGGGTAAATTAATTTTTGAACTTCATAAAATCCATTAAATCCAGAATTATTCATTTTCAATGTATTTAATTGACAACTGACTTTTAATTACCACCCTATTAGTCAGCTAAACCGAGGGTTCACTATACAGGGGCTCCTTGACTTATGATAGTTTGACTTAACGATAGTGCAATAGCAATTACTTCTGAGATTAAACTTTAATAATAATACTGTAATAATAATGATAATAATAATAATAATAATAATAATAAATAATAAATAATATCTTTATTTCTACCAGTACATGTACAAGGTATACAGACCATAGCTGACATCAGTGACATACTAATACATAGAAAGCCACTTGCTATGCTCAGAGCATTTCCTGCAAATTAGGTCAGTTTTGTCCCAGGATGCGACCCACACCAGTCCACTAACACCCAGGTACCCATTTTACTGATGGGTGAACATAGACCACCGGTGTAAAGAAACATGCCCAATGTTTCTACCCTCGCTGGGAATCGAACCCGGACACTCGCCATCTGAAGCGAGAGCTTTAGCCACCAGGCCACAGGCCACCATTAGATAATTACCCAACATGAAGACGGCAAATTCAGAACTTGTATTCGTTTATTTACTTTTCAAGAGTGGTATTCAGTTACAATAATTGTTTATTTACTTACTCAGTGATAGTATTATTTATTTAGTATTCGACATGATATTTTCGACTTATGATGGGTTTCTCAGAACATAACCCGATTCAAGTCTAGGAGCACCTGTATGTATTGTTAATTCTCGTAAGTTCTCTCTTCATTGTATGTTCAAAACTGCAAATATAAACAGTGTTGAGCATACCTGGCGGAGAGCCTCGCCTGTGGCACTGGTCTGGTGAGGCACAGCACTGTTGCTCTGGATGCTGCCAACATGCATGAAGGCTGTTTTCAGGGGATCTATGTTGCCGACCACAAACCTATATAGAAAAAATTATTAAGGCAAAATTCATGCCCATACAATTTTTTAAACATAAAAAGTGTTTATCAATTTCATTCAAGAAGCTCAGTGTTTACTATCAGATTTACTCTGCTTTAAAAAAAACAGTGAAATTTTTGGTAATTATAATTGCTAATTCCCTTCTCTGTAAGTCACACATGTCATAAGAGGTGCCTAAAATCCCCAGAGCAAGGTGGCTAAATTTGCCACTTTGGTGGCAAAATCTATCTCCTGTATAAATTACTAAATGTAAAAGGAAAAACTTTTGTTGCATTACCTTTGTAAATTGAGTTCATTACCTTTGTAAATTGTGAGTTCATTACCTTTGTAAATTGTGAGTTCATTACCTCTGTAACTTGCTCAGCTATCAAAACTTTGGCGTCCAGTCCCTGGACCAATTATGTAACTGTGTAATCTTTTGACTACTGCCCACAGGATGGGTATGGGGTGCATAATAAACATATTAAACTAACTGCTTAGTCACAGACCAGGCTGTGGGGGCACTGACCCCCAAAACCCTCTCCAGGTATACCCTGCCTCTGGGCTACAGCCGTTGTGTTAAAAGAAAAAAAACTTTAGTTGTTCTTTTTTAGTCACCCTGCCTGGGTGGGATATGCCCAGTGTGTGGAAAAAAATGCCATTAATAAATTCCTGTATATTTATGCAAAGACTGTGGAAGGTAGTGGGTGTGTTGGTGGTGGGTCCATGAAGATGAAAAAATGAGATTTGCATATTCTGTATCGTCTGATCAAAGCCAATTTTATAGATAAAGTCATTGAAGATTTGGTGGGCATTGAAAAATCAAGCAGTCCTAACAACAACCACTGCTTGTCCAATTTTTTTGTAAAGTGCGATTACTCATTTGATGGGCCTTCAGATTATTAATAATAATAATATCTTTATTTAGTTTTTCTTCTTCTCTTTTTTAGTAATTGTATACAGGAGAAGGGGTTACTAGCCCATTGCTCCCGGCATTTTAGTCGCCTCATACGACACGCATGGCTTACGGAGGAAAGATTCTTTTCCACTTCCCCATGGACAATAGAAGAAATAAAAAAGAACAAGAGCTATTTAGAAAAAGGAGAAAAACCTAGATGTATGTATATATATATATGCATGTGCGTGTCTGTGAAGTGTGACCAAAGTGTAAGTAGGAGTAGCAAGATATCCCTGTTATCTTAGCGTGTTTATGAGACAGAAAAAGAAACCAGCAATCCTACCATCATGCAAAACAGTTACAGGTTTTTGTTTCACAGTCATCTGGCAGGATGGTAGTACTTCCCTGGGTGGTTGCTGTCTACCAACCTACTACCTACACTCTGAAGGAGGGGTGTTAATGTTGCAGTTTAAAAACTGTAGTGTAAAGCACCCTTCTGGCAAGACAGTGATGGAGTGAATGATGGTGAAAGTTTTTCTTTTTCGGGCCACCCTGCCTTGGTGGGAATCGGCCGGTGTGATAATAATAAAAAAATAATCTTTATTTACTACAAGTACATGTATACATGGTATACAGGCCTAGCTGACATCAATGACATGATACTATATAGAAAGCCCATTGTTATGCTGAGCATTCTGGGCAAATTAGGTCAGTGTCCCAGGATGCGACCCACACCAGTCAACTAACACCCAGGTACCCATTTTACTGATGGGTGAACATAGACAACAGGTGTAAAGGAACACACCCAATGTTTCTACCCTGGCTGGGAATCAAACCCAGACCTTGACCATATGAAGCAAAAGCTTTAGCCACCAGGCCGCCAGTAGTTCTGAAATACAGATTAGTACAGTGGACCCCCAGTTTATATTATTATTTCATTCCAGAAGTATGTTCAGGTGCCAGTACTGACCGAATTTGTTCCCATAAGGAATATTGTGAATTAGATTAGTCCATTTCAGACCCCCAAACATACACATACAAACGCACTTACATAAATACAATTACATAACTGGTCGCATTAGGAGCTGATCGTAAACCGGGGGTCCACTGTACAGTGGACCCCCGGTTAACGATATTTTTTCATTCCAGAAGTATGTTCAAGTGCCAGTACTGACCGAATTTGTTCCCATAAGGAATATTGTGAATTAGATTAGTCCATTTCAGACCCCTAAACATACACATACAAACGCACTTACATAAATACACTTACATAATTGGTCGCATTGGGAGCTGATCGTTAAGCGGGGGTCCACTGTATTTCTATTTGACCAGCAGTTGTATAACTACTACAAACATTACAAATTTATTTACAAAAAAAAAAAATCCAACAAGTTATTTTGCAGAAATTTAGTATACTAGTTATAGTATACTGAGCAAGTAAAAAATTATTTTAGAGGCTGCCTGTAATGCTCTGCATAACCAGGGGCTTTATATATCTATGTCAACCATTCCTGAACCAACTGTAAATTAATTCCTGAACTAACTGTAAATTATACTTTGTATAAATAAATAATTATCATTTATCATTTGCAAGTACCATGTGTGTTTGTAATTTAACCCTTAAACTGTCCAAGCAGATCTACGTTCACATGTGCAGTGCTCCAAAAGTAGATCTATGTTTTTTTTCACATATTTTCAAATATAATAAAAAAAGAAAAAGTAGATCAAAGCTTTTTTACAAGTTTTCAAATGTAAAAAAAAAAAAAAAAAAAGAAGATCTACTTTTTTTACATACAGTGGACCCCCGCTTAACGATCACCTCCAAATGCGACCAATTATGTAAGTGTATTTATGTAAGTGCGTTTGTACGTGTATGTTTGGGGGTCTGAAATGGACTAATCTACTTCACAATATTCCTTATGGGAAAAAATTCGGTCAGTACTGGCACCTGAACATACTACTGGAATGAAAAAAGTTCGTTAACCGGGGGTCCACTGTACTTTCAAATGTTGAAAAAACGTAGATCTACGTTTGGACAGTTTAAGGGTTAAGGAACAGATCTATGTTCGTGAATTTCCATCCTTATTAATAATAATAATAATTTTATTTCAGCATGATACTGCACAATGTTTATAGAATGGAGAATGACATTTGAGCGTACATTCCGAAAGCTCTTTATAAGCCGAAAAAAAACACTTTCATCATCACTCAATGCATCACTGTCTTGCTTACACCACAGTTAAACTGCAACATATCTCCACCCGTCCCTCAGAGTGCAGGTACTGTCCTTCCCATTTTCAGGACTCAAGTCTGGCTAACTGGTTTTCCTAAATGTATTACAGTATGTGAAAATAAACTGACTGTTCAGTTTTTTGCCCTCATTATTCATATTTCTTAACTCTTTCAATCTATTTTATAATATGATCGGGTTTTTCTTTGGCGATACACAGTGTTATAGATGTTTTTTAAGCACACCAACCATCTTCAACCAAGACGGGGTGACCTGAAAAAAAAGGAATTAAAGTTTTTTTCTTCAGTTTCACATTTAGTAATTTATACAGGAGTTACTAGCCCCTTGCTCCTGGTATTTTAGTCGCCTCTTACAACATGCATGGCTTATGGAGGAAGGATTCTAACCCACTTCTCCATGTGGTTGTATATTCTAATTTGGGTCTTCCTATTAGATAAGGTTTCTGTGGGTCACCCCCCTCATGGTACAATCCTGAACCAGTGTTCATGTGTGTTGTGAACAATCCAATTGTGATGTCTATATACTGCACTCTAAAGGACGCATGAAGATATTACAGTTCAAAGGGCCATCTGAACTGTGATGTTAGCATGCTTCTGGCAAAACAACAATTGAATGAAGGATGGTGAATGTGTTTCCTCTTTTCCTGGGTCACCCTACCTTGGTAGGAAACAATCAGTGCATTAAAAAATCTCAATTACTGTCTGTTTATGTGTAATTTTGCTTGATGACCCATTATGTATGTCTGTAATACTTTGACTACTTCCCACAAGGTGGGTATGGGGTCCACAATAAACATATTAAACCAAAACTGACCAATGATGCATTAACTATTTCTCCTTAGCAATTAGCAACCTTCCACACCAAGTCTCACAGATAAAGTATTTATTACTATTATTTTATTTAAGAAATTGCTCATACAGCACTTGGGGAATGAAAAGGGTAGGGGGTAATTAAGTAAGTTTACTCAGGTATACACAAATACAGTTACATAGATTTTTTTCTCATACACAGTAGCATATGTGTAGAGAACCTAAGATAAACCAAAAAAATCAGACAAAGTGACTTATTTTCATTAGGGGTAGTGTATTTAGTTTTATCTTATGAATACAATGCAAATTTATTTCTTTTCTGCAGTATACAAAACATAATTTAAACGTAATAAAATATTGTTGAATACAAAAGAAAGCCACTAGGGGTAGCTTATGTTTCCCCAAGTCAAAAGCCCAACATGTGGCATACAACTCACTTGAGGTGGCTGTTTTCACGAGGGGCCGGAGGCACATTCATGTTAGCGTAATCCATCAAGCGTTCTCCTAGCTGCTTCCTCACCAGCACCACCTCCATGGCTGGACAGCGAGTCAGAGCCTTCTCTACAAACTCACAGCCACTTTCTACACCTCTTACCCACGATTCCAGTTCTTCCAACTGATCACCTGTAAAATAATCATTACAGAATACAATGTTTGTAACTTGTATACGATTGTGACCAGATTTACCTGGAGTTTATTACCTTTGTACCTTGTTCAGCTATCAAAACTTTGGGGCCCAGTCCCTGTACCCATTATGTACCTCTAATTCTTTGACTACTGCCCAAGGATGGGTATGGAGAGCATAATAAAAATATTAAACTAAAAGAATACAATACACAACTAACCCATACATAAGAGAGAGAGAGAAGCTCATGCTGACATTATGATCCAAGTTGGACCATTCACAAATCACACTAATACAAGAAAGTGAGGGAGCAAGTCTGGGCTCGATTCCCAGCAAGGGTAGAAATACTGGGTGTGTTTCTTTACACTGGCTGTCTATGTTCACCCATCAGTATAAAATGGATACCTGGGTACCAGTTGACTGGTGTGGGTTGCATCCTGCGACAAAATTAATCTAATTTGCAGGTAGTGCTCAGCATAACAAGGGGCTTTCTATATACTGTAGTAGTATGTCATTGATGTCAGCTATGTTCTGTATACCTTGTACTATATGTACTTGCAGAAATAAAGATAATTATTAGTAGTAATTAGGTAGTAGGTTGGTAGACAGCAACCGCCCAGGGAGGTACTACCGTCCTATGGTAGTAGGTTGGTAGACAGCAACCACCCAGGGAGGTACTACCGTCCTGTGGTAGTAGGTTGGTAGACAGCAACCACCCAGGTAGGTACTACTGTCCAGTGGTAGTAGGTTGGTAGACAGCAACCACCCAGGGAGGTACTACCATCCTGTGGTAGTAGGTTGGTAGACAGCAACCGCCCAGGGAGGTACTACCGTCCTATGGTAGTAGGTTGGTAGACAGCAACCGCCCAGGGAGGTACTACCGTCCTGTAGTAGTAGGTTGGTAGACAGCAACCACCCAGGGAGGTACTACCATCCTGTGGTAGTAGGTTGGTAGACAGCAACCATCCAGGGAGGTACTACCGTCCTATGGTAGTAGGTTGGTAGACAGCAACCGCCCAGGGAGGTACTACCGTCCTACCAAGTGAGTGTAAAATGAAAGCCTGTAATTGTTTTACACGATGGTAGGATTGCTGGTGTCCTTTCTTCTGTCTCAAACATGCAAGATTACAGGTACGTCTTGCTACTTCTACTTACACTTAGGTCACACTACACATACATGTACAATCATATATATACACACCCCTCTGGGTTTTCTTCTATTTTCTTTCTAGTTCTTGTTCTTGTTTATTTCCTCTTACCTCCATGGGGAAGTGGAACAGAATTCTTCCTCCATAAGCCATGTGTGTTGTAAGAGGCAACTAAAATGCCAGGAGCAAGGGGCTAGTAACCCCCCTCTCCTGTATAAATTACTAAATTTAAAAAGAGAAACTTTCGTTTTTCTTTTTGGGCCACCCTGCCTTGGTGGGATACGGCCGGTTTGTTGAAAAAAAAAAATTAGTAGTAGTAGTAGTACTTTTAGGCACAAAAGAAAGCAACTAGAATGCAGTGCATTTCAGGCAGACTATCAGAAAAGACCATTCCAAGAGTCTTGCTAAACAACAAAGAGAATGACAACACTTGGGTATACCACTACGATATCCTCCTACAGGGATACCTAATTAAGCTCTTCTTTTCTCATGCTATAATTATTTACCAATTTTAAAGAAGCCACAAGTTTAATGACAAAATGAAGGAAAACTTTTCCATGAAATGTAAAACCTACAGAACATTTCTACTGTAAATAAGTAACTTGTTGTATCTTCATCTATTCATTCACTCCACAAAACTGAAGATCGATAAATCGACCTGAAATACTAAGTCATATTTAATAATCATACCATTTGTTCATTTGCTACTTTTCTTACTTTATAGTATATATGACTTTAGTTAACTACATAAGAAATCCTACTTAATAAGTCTGTGTTTAAGAATTAGGATTAATTTGCTTGAATTGTAATGCATACTAGCAGTTTTCTTCCACTATAAACTATATTTTTTGGTACGCAAAATCCCCTCAGGGAAGGTTCCTTGATGTTGGTGAGGGGCTCTTGATTTAGGGAATTGGATCTGTGCTCCAGTTCCCCGAATTAAGCCTGAATGCCTTCCACATCCCCCCCCCAGGCGCTGTATAATCCTACGGGTTTAGCGCTTCCCCTTGATTATAATAATAATAATTTTGTACGCAAAAAGAAGTAAAAGTTTGTATTTGTATTTCTGCTGAACAAATTCACCAAAAATATGTACTGTATATACTGCACAGATAAAAAAAATTGCCACTTGAAATACTGATATAAATTAACTGCTAATCATACCAAAAAAAAAAAATATTTTATACCTAATGTCATTTGCTTTCCAGATTCAATGGTGTTGAGGGAGTTGATGAGAGCTGTTTGTCTCTTGTCAAGCAATTCGTGGAGGGTGTCGAAGCAATTTCGAACCTCCTTTTCTGCCTCTGCTCTCCTCTCCTGAAGGCTACGGCAAACATCCTGGATGTCACATATGGCTTCCTTCATGCATGGTAGCTGCAACAGTATCTCGCCTTAATTTGAAGAAAATTATTCATAGGCATGTTGAACAATGAGATATTTGTGCAATGGAAATGTTTTGGCAGCCAGTGGCTTCTTCAGTTTAATACAGAGAAAATGGTGGAAGGTGAGGAAGAGTTTGGGGTGATTAGTCCCTCAGCCTGGAGTCAATGTATTCGGTCCGTCAATCTTTGTATTGGACTGAAGGAGTCACTGGCTGGTGAAACATTCCTCAATAAAGGTTCCCAAATGTTACACTTGTGTCTCATTCTTTGACAGTTTTCTAAATCATTTACACTCATGGGCATCTTCTGGGAGATCACACATTACATATCTAAAGTGACCTTATCTAGTAAATAATTTTTTTTAAATCCATACATTTCTTAATCTTGTCTCCATAAGCTATGCATGTCATAAGAAGCAACTAAAATTCCAGGAGCAAGGGGCTAGGTACCTCTTCTCCTGTATACATTTCTAAATTTTAAGAAATTTTAGTTTTCTTCTTTTCTCGGGTCACTGCCTCAGTGGGAGACAGCCTGTGACTTAAAAAAAAATTCTTAATAGATCGAGTTGAGTGGTTAAGGAGTTAGAGATTAATTCCCATAAGTTAAAATATGAGAATACACAAGATTACAAATGAAATAACTCTTATTTTCTGGCATATAAGTCACGCCTTTTTTTTTTCTTACCCACAAAAAAGTCTTGGAACATCAGCCTGTGCCTTACATGCTCAAGGTCAGGGTCAAGGTTAGGCTTTGGGTTACATTTAGTGTAAAGTAAGAGGGTAATTAACCTTTGAATATGATTACCGATTTACCGTTACGATACTTCTGTCACGAGTCCTTTTTTTTTTTTTTTTTTTCTCTCAACACATCAGTCATCACCCACCAAGGTGGGCTGACATCTTATATGCTGGAAAATGTTGTATTAGGCTAACCTGCATGGTTACTCTGTCGATGAGCTGATGCATAGCCACCCGATGTTCATCCACAGCATCTGTGAGGTGCAGGGTATTATGGGCACGGTGCTCTATGTCTGTGCAGCTGCTGCACACTGCTGTCTCACAGTCGCGACAGTAAAAACGCAGTGTTTGACCTGAAAATAATAAAAATAAAATGTCTGACCTGATAATAAAAATGCAGTGTCTGACCTGATAATAAAAATAAGGACTTAATAATAATAAAAACACAATATCTGACATGATAATCTAATCCTTGGAAACAGTGAAATGGAACTAACTCCCTTTAAAGGGAGGGGAAGGGGAAGGGCATGCCTGAATGCTGGTCAAAGTTTTTTTTATAAAGAAAATGGGAATACAGTACTCTTCCCTTTCCTGGGATCAAACCTGATAACCTCCCATTCCCCAGGGTGCTGAATAACCACTAACAATAACACAAACAATTTTATTTTACCATGATACATGTTTACCTGGAGTTTACCTGGAGAGTTCCGGGGGTCAACGCCCCCGCAGCCCGGTCTGTGACCAGGCCTCCTGGTGAATCAGAGCCTGAGTGTAACAATTTGTGTAATAATTTGTGGAACATGTCAAAAGCCCCTTTTATATGCAGAGCATTTCAGGCAAATTTAAGACTAACTTAAGATTAATAAGGCAATAACAGTGCTGTAACTGTACATATGGTCATTAGGCGAGTTACAGTGAATGCATGAAAACTGAACACAGTCTCTCCTCAAAGTATTTCTTTTATTATGCCAAATCAAAGTCGAGAACAACGTCCAGTATTGGGCCCCTACTTAAACAAGATGAGTCCTACACAGATGACAGCAAGGAAATGAGTGAGCTACTCAAGTCCCAATATGATTCAGTTTTTAGCAAGTCACTAACCAGACTGAGAGTCAAAGATCTAAATGAATTTTTTATGAGAGAGCCACAGAATTTGGTAAACACAAGCCTATCTGATGTTATCCTGACGCCAAATGACTTCGAACAGGCGATAAATGACATGCCCATGCACTCTGTCCCAGGGCCAGACTCATGGAACTCGGTGTTCATCAAGAACTGCAAGAAGCCCCTATCACGTGCTTTTAACATCCTATGGAGAGGGAGCATGGACACAGGGGTCGTCCCACAGTTACTAAAAGCAACAGACACAGCCCCACTCCACAAAGGGGGTAGTAAAGCAATAGCAAAGAACTACAGACCTACAGCACTAACATCCCATATCATAAAAATCTTTGAAAGGGTCCTAAGAAGCAAGATCACTACCCATCTAGATACCCATCAATTACATAACCTAGGACAACATGGGTTTAGAGCAGGTTGCTCCTGTCTGTCCCAACTACTGGATCACTATGACAAGTTCCTAGATGCACTAGAAGATAAAAAGAATGCAGATGTAATATACACAGACTTTGCAAAAGCTTTCGACAAGTGTGACCATGGTGTATTAGCACACAAAATGCATGCTAAAGGAATAACAGGAAAAGTTGGTAGATGGATCTATAATTTCCTCACAAACAGAATACAAAGAGTAGTAGTCAACAGAGTAAAGTCTGAGGCGGCTATGGTGAAAAGCTCTGTTCCGCAAGGCACAGTACTCGCTCCCATCTTCATATCTGACAGACAAGGATGTCAGCACCGTGCCTTCCTTTGCAGATGACACCCAAATCTGCATGACAGTGTCTTCCATTGCAGACACTGCAAGGCTCCAGGCAGACATCAACCAAATTTTTCAATGGGCTGCAGAAAACAATATGAAGTTCAACGATGAGAAATTTCAATTACTCCGATATGGTAAACATGAGGAAATTAAAACTATCAGAGTACTGTACAAAACAAATTCCAGCCACAAAATAGAGCAAAAAACCAACGTCAAAGACCTGGGAGTGATCATGTCGGAGGATCTCACCTTCAAGGACCATAACATTGTATCAATTGCATCTGCTAGAAAAATGACAGGATGGATAATGAGAACCTTCAAAACTAGGGATGCCAAGCCCATGATGACACTCTTCAGGTTGCTTGTTCTATCTAGGCTGGAATATTGCTGCACACTAACAGCACCTTTGAAGGCAGGTGAAATTGCTGACCTAGAAAATGTAAACAGAACATTCACAGCATGCATAACGGAGATAAAACGCCTCAATTACTGGGAGTGCTTGAAGTTCCTGAACCTGTACTCCCTGGAACACAGGCGGGAGAGATACATGCTTATATACACCTGGAAAATCCTAGAGGGACTAGTACCGAACTTGCACATGAAAATCACTCTCTACGAAAGCAAAGGACTTGGCAGACGATGCAACATCCCCCCAATGAAAAGCAGGGGTGTCACTAGCACGTTAAGAGACAACAAAATAAGTGTCAGGGGCCCCAAGACTGTTCAACTGCCTCCCAGCATACATAAGGGGGATTACTAATAGACCCCTGGCAGTCTTCAAGCAGGCACTGGACAAGCACCTGAAGTCGGTACCTGATCAGCCGGGCTGTGGCTCGTACGTTGGATTGCGTGCAGCCAGCAGTAACAGCCTGGTTGATGAGGCTCTGATCCACCATAAGGCCTGGTCACAGACCGGGCCGCGGGGGCGTTGACCCCTGGAACCCTCTCCAGGTAAACTTAGCGATGTACTAGTTTACTGATGACTCGGACTTACAACAGGCTCTCTGCCCAGTATGAATACCTAAATAATGTATATTAGAGCTGATTTCCTCTATTCTGTTTATTACAATATACAGTACACTACTGTATAAACATTTAAAAATACGTATACTAAAAATGTTATAAATGGTACAAAGGTGACATTAAAACAATATCAAAGATGGTTGACACAAACTCACTACCATTATAATATGCTCCTCACTTAGTGACGAATTCGTTACCAACGTGGTCTTAGGAACGAAACTCTGTCGTGAAGTGAGGAGAGGTTGTATTCAACTAGTTCGTGCTATATGGCTTTAGTAAGTTCAGTAGAGAAGAATTAGTTTTGGTATAGCATATAAAAAAAATACAGTATTACAAATGAGCACAATTTAAAACAATGAAATTAAAACAATTATATGTTTGAAGTAATGATTAAGTAGTTGAGCAGTCAAATTATTGAGGTATTATTTGAGGAACTGGTAGGTGTTTAGTGTTTGTCTGGTTAATTTTGGGTAATGAGGTAATATCTAAGTAGGGGCTTAAACTGATTTGTAGGCAGCGGCCTCTTAGTGTGTTCTGGCAACGAATTCCAGATCTTCAGGCCCTTTATGTGCACAGCATTTTTGCACAGGGAGAGATGGACATGAGGAATATCAAAGAGTGATTTGTGCCTTGTATTATGCCTGTGTGTTCTGTAGTTATCAAAGAGGAGTTTGAGAGGAGGGTTAATATTTGAGTGTAATGTTGTGCGTGTGTATAGTAAGCACAATAATAAGTATGGATGTTTTGTATATTAAGCATGTTAAGGCTCATAAAAAGCAGTGGAGTGTGCTGTCTAGTGCAGGAGTTGGTAATCAATTGCACTGCAGTTTTTTGTTGGGTTATTAAAGGTTTAAGGTGATTTACTGTGGGTTTAGAGCTTTCCATGTGACGATAAAATACGTAGCCTGGAACTTAACCTGCTGTATAAGTGGGTCCCTACAGCAGCTCAGAACCTAACCTACTGTATAAGTGGGGCTCTACAGCAGCTCGGAACCTAACCTACTGTATAAGTGGGTCCCTACAGCAGCTCGGAACCTAACCTGCTGTATAAGTGGGGCTCTGCAGCAGCTCGGAACCTAACCTGCTGTATAAGTGGGTCCCTACAGCAGCTCGGAACCTAACCTACTGTATAAGTGGGTCCCTACAGCAGCTCGGAACCTAACCTGCTGTATAAGTGGGGCTCTACAGCAGCTCAGAACCTAACCTGCTGTATAAGTGGGTCCCTACAGCAGCTCGGAACCTAACCTGCTGTATAAGTGGGTCCCTACAGCAGCTCGGAACCTAACCTGCTGTATAAGTGGGGCTCTACAGCAGCTCGGAACCTAACCTACTGTATAAGTGGGTCCCTACAGCAGCTCGGAACCTAACCTACTGTATAAGTGGGTCCCTACAGCAGCTCGGAACCTAACCTACTGTATAAGTGGGTCCCTACAGCAGCTCGGAACCTAACCTACTGTATAAGTGGGGCCCTACAGCAGCTCGGAACCTAACCTACTGTATAAGTGGGGCCCTACAGCAGCTCGGAACCTAACCTACTGTATAAGTGGGGCCCTACAGCAGCTCAGAACCTAACCTACTGTATAAGTGGGTCCCTACAGCAGCTTGGAACCTAACCTACTGTATAAGTGGGGCCCTACAGCAGCTCAGAACCTAACCTACTGTATAAGTGGGTCCCTACAGCAGCTTGGAACCTAACCTACTGTATAAGTGGGGCCCTACAGCAGCTTGGAACCTAACCTACTGTATAAGTGGGGCCCTACAGCAGCTCGGAACCTAACCTACTGTATAAGTGGGGCTCTACAGCAGCTCGGAACCTAACCTACTGTATAAGTGGGTCCCTACAGCAGCTCGGAACCTAACCTACTGCATAAGTGGGTCCCTACAGCAGCTCGGAACCTAACCTACTGTATAAGTGGGTCCCTACAGCAGCTCGGAACCTAACCTACTGTATAAGTGGGTCCCTACAGCAGCTCAGAACCTAACCTACTGTATAAGTGGGTCCCTACAGCAGCTCGGAACCTAACCTACTGTATAAGTGGGTCCCTACAGCAGCTTGGAACCTAACCTACTGTATAAGTGGGGCCCTACAGCAGCTTGGAACCTAATCTACTGTATAAGTGGGGCCCTACAGCAGCTTGGAACCTAACCTACTGTATAAGTGGGGCCCTACAGCAGCTCGGAACCTAACCTACTGTATAAGTGGGGCCCTACAGCAGCTCGGAACCTAACCTACTGTATAAGTGGGGCTCTACAGTAATGGTATATGACAAGTTATACATTGCTATTAATGAATTTAAAGCAACTACTGTAAATATGAACACTGCCTCTATATTTCCACACACTAATGGAATAAGACCTTTTTATTTATTATAGTTATGGGCAGTGCTCAATCTGTAAAGGTTTATATTGCACCTGGGGAATGGGTAAAATAAGGTTTGATCCAAGGAAGGGAGGAAAGGTTAAGTGTACTAAATTATGAGTCTGATCAACGAAGAAGCCTTTTCATGTTTCTAAAATTATTATATCATGGGGGAAGCAATAGACCCGTAGGGGTCTTATGGTACGTGTGGAGGGAATGGGAGACATTCAGGGGAGGGGTCATGAGACGTATGTTCAAGGAAATGAAAGGTAAGTCCAGTTCCATGGATCAAGAGCCCATCATTGACAATAAGGGACCTTCCTCGAGGGGTAACTCAAGAAATGTGCTTCATATTACTACACTTTAAAAATGATTTGTGTAAAAAAAAAAATATGGAGAGATCCAGACTTAAAACATTTCAGAGAACACAGTGAACACTGATCACCCACAAGAACACTGCTGGATGTTCTTCTGTCCCCTTGGAACAACCTCCACATGCTTTGTATTATTAGAGCAGTAGTCTCACAAGAATACTGTTGAATATTCTCTTGCAACGCACTCCAACATAACTTGCAACTTGTCAATGTACTATAATAGCAGCAGTCCCATAAGAACACTGCTGGATGTTTTATCACTTGCAACACAAACATATTATAGCAGAAGTCCCTCAAGAACACTGCTAGATGGTCCCTTGTCCCTTGCAACACACTCCAACATGACTTGCAACCTGAACAACAACGTATTGTAAGATCAACAATCCCTTAAGAACACTTGAATGTTGTCCCCTTGCAACATACCCCAACATACCTTGCAACATGGAGAACACATAAGAGCAGCAGCCCCACAAGAACTCTGCTGAAATGTTATATTGTCCCTTGCAACCTCCCTCCCCCCCCATGTAACTTGCAACCTGAACAACAATGTATTATAAGAACAGAAGTTCGACAAGAACACTGCTGGATGTTCTTGTCCCCTTGCAACACACCTCCATATGACTTGCAACTTGAACAACGTATAAGAACAAGTCCGACAAGAACACTGCTGAATGTTCTGTCCTTTTGCAACACTCCCGCATGACTTGCAACTTGAACAAAATGTATTATAAGAACATAAGTCCCAAAAGAACACTCTTGGATGTTCCGTCCCGTTGCAACACATCCCAACATGCCTTGCAACCTGAACACCAGCGTATTATAACATCAAGTCCCACAAAGACACTGCTGAATGTTGTCTCTTGCAACACACCCCAACATTCCTTGCAACAACGTATTATAACAGCAGTCATACCAGAACAGAGGTGAACGTTCCCCTCGCAACACACCCCAACATTCCTTGCAACAACATATTATAACAGCAGTCATACCAGAACAGAGGTGAACGTTCCCCTCGCAACACACCCCAACATTCCTTGCAACAACATATTATAACAGCAGTCATACCAGAACAGTGGTGAACGTTCCCCTCGCAACACACCCCAACATTCCTTGCAACAACATATTATAACAGCAGTCATACCAGAACAGTGGTGAACGTTCCCCTCGCAACACACCCAACATCCTTGCAACAACATATTATAACAGCAGTCATACCAGAACAGAGGTGAACGTTCCCCTCGCAACACCCCCCAACATGTCTTGCAACAACGTAAGACAGTTACCACAGGAGGCTGGGTTGACCACAGGGTCGCTGTATAAGGACTCCATGTTAACTATGGTCACCAAACTGACTTTCTCAGAGCACCAATTGATGATACACTGGTGTTAACTGAACCAGGAGCCTCGTTCTCTCTCTCACACTCTCCCTCACACTAATACATCAATAACCTCCACATAGGAGAGCGTCAAGTTTACCTCAAACTTAGACCATTAACTTGTTATATTAAGTTTATTTAAGTTTATTTATTTAGGCCGTAAATGCCCCGGCATGATAGTGGCTTCTCTGTACTTAGCAAATCAAAATTGTAATTAGAAATTGTAAACTATATAAAGAAATAGGCCTTAATCGTTAGTGTAAATTATCTAGGATAACCTAGTTAAGTTACTTAGCTGTTTAGCTAGTCAGTGACTTATTTCCATAAGTCAGTGACTTATGGAAATAAGTCACTGACTTTTCTGGGGTTATCCTGGCTAATTTAAACTGTGTATAATTGTATTTGTGTGTATTTGTACCTAAATAAACTTAAGTGAGAGTAACTTATTTCCAATAAGTTAATGGTCCAATTCGGACCTAAACGTCTTTACAAGTTTTTTCTCCTATATATGGGGGGGGGGGGTTCTTTTGTTTATTATTCCAGTCATGGTTTTGCGACTTGTTATTATTTATGGCACATTAACACACTCCCAACATCCCTTCATGATGGGCTCTTCATCTCAGGAACTGGAGCTACTATTCTCAATCTTGCGATCACACCGGATTACCTCTCATTCCCCAGGGACTGTAAGCTCCATCCGAGTTTATCGCTTTCCCAATAACCAAATAATAATTAACTTCATTTAGGCACAGGTACACCTAAGTATAATTATCATAAACAGTTTAGTGTATGAATTACCTCAAAAAAGTCAAAGTGACTCCCTCCCCCCACCTCCATGACTGTACCTGGAGTTTACCTGGAGAGAGTTCCGGGGGTCAACGCCCCCGCGGCCCGGTCTGTGACCAGGCCTCCTGGTGGATCAGAGCCTGATCAACCAGGCTGTTGCTGCTGGCTGCACGCAAACCAACGTACGAGCCACAGCCCGGCTGGTCAGGAACCATTGATTTAGGCTATATTTTGAGGCCCCTCAAGGAAGGTTCCTTGATGTTGGTGAGGGGCTCTTGATTTAGGGAATTGGATCTGTGCTCCAGTTCCCCGAATTAAGCCTGAATGCCTTCCACATCCCCCCCCCAAGGCGCTGTATAATCCTCCGGGTTTAACGCTTCCCCCTTGATTATAATAATAATATAATTTGAGGGGGGGGGAGATTTAGAAGAGGTAATCAGTGAAGACATTTAGAAGCCCCACTCAAAATATTAGATATACGTGTTTTCGTAATTTAGCAGAGGTATACACAGGTTTACACACAGGTATGTTAGACGAGGGCGGGATGGGTGGGTGATGGTGGGTAGCCGATGCTGCCAGCACCTCCCTGTAATGATGTGGCAGCCAGAACCTCCCTGTAATGATGTGGCAGCCAGAACCTCCCTGTAATGATGTGGCAGCCAGAACCTCCCTGTAATGATGTGGCAGCCAGCACCTCCCTGTAATGATGTGGCAGCCAGCACCTCCCTGTAATGATGTGGCAGCCAGAACCTCCCTGTAATGATGTGGCAGCCAGCACCTCCCTGTAATGATGTGGCAGCCAGAACCTCCCTGTAATGATGTGGCAGCCAGCACCTCCCTGTAATGATGTGGCAGCCAGAACCTCCCTGTAATGATGTGGCAGCCAGCACCTCCCAGTAATGATATGGCAGCCAGAACCTCCCTGTAATGATGTGGCAGCCAGCACCTCCCTGTAATGATGTGGCAGCCAGCACCTCCCTGTAATGATGTGGCAGACAGCACCTCCCTGTAATGATGTGGCAGCCAGCACCTCCCTGTAATGATGTGGCAGCCAGCACCTCCCTGTAATGATGTGGCAGCCAGAACCTCCTGTAATGATGTGGCAGCCAGAACCTCCCTGTAATGATGTGGCAGCCAGCACCTCCCTGTAAGGATGTAGCAGCCAGCACCTCCCTGTAATGATGTGGCAGCCAGAACCTCCCTGTAATGATGTGGCAGCCAGCACCTCCCTGTAATGATGTGGCAGCCAGCACCTCCCTGTAATGATGTGGCAGCCAGAACCTCCCTGTAATGATGTGGCAGCCAGAACCTCCCTGTAATGATGTGGCAGCCAGCACCTCCCTGTAAGGATGTAGCAGCCAGCACCTCCCTGTAATGATGTAGCAGCCAGCCCCCCCCCAGTAATAATGTGGTTATTACCTTGATGTGAGGGGCAGTAGAGTGTAGTCTGGTCGTCGTGGTAACCATTGGTGTCTGGCAGACCTCCCTCACCGTCTGTCAAACTCACCACACTGTGACTCTCACTCCCCGAGTCCTGTAAAAATACATAATTATTATTTTTATTTATCCATATATCTACAAGTACATGATTGAACTTGTATAGACCATAGCTGACATCAGTGACATAATATATAGAAAAGCCCCTGATTATACAGAGCATTTCGTGCAAATTAGGTTAATTTTGTCCCCCAGGATGCATAAGGGGGATTACCTATAGACCCCTGGCAGTCTTCAAGCTGGCACTGGACAAGCACCTAAAGTCGGTTCCTGATCAGCCGGGCTTTGGCTCGTACGTTGGTTTGCGTGCAGCAAGCCTGGTCACAGACCGGGCCGCGGGGGCGTTGACCCCCGGAACTCTCTCCAGGTAAACTCAAGGTAAACTCCAGGATGCGACCCACACCAGTCGGGTAACACACAGGTACCTATTTCATACTAGTTGAACATGGACAGCAAGTGTCTTAAGGAAACACGTCCTGTTTCCACCCCTACCGGGGATCGAACCACAGACCTCAGTATATGAGAGGAGTGCATTACCAATCGAGCTACGAGACACTGGCCACAGTTAAATCATAGGTAAGGTGGGACTCGAACCCATGGCAAGCGAGCCCTACAACGAGCCAGTGTGCTAACCTCACTATGGAAACTAGATAGCATAAAGTTTTTAAGGAGTGTAGTGGTAAGCCAGTGGAAGGCCTCAGTCAGATGACTAAAAGCTCCAGCTTTGGGTTATCATATAACTAAGAGCCGACTCAGGAAACACTTGTCCTGTTTCTTGACAAACCAAAGAAATTACAACGCGGGGGCGTTGACCCCCGAAATCCTCTCCAGGTAAGATAAGATAAGATAAGATTTCGTTCGGATTTTTAACCCCGGAGGGTTAGCCACCCAGGATAACCCAAGAAAGTCAGTGCGTCATCGAGGACTGTCTAACTTATTTCCATTGTGGTCCTTAATCTTGTCCCCCAGGATGCGACCCACACCAGTCGACTAACACCCAGGTACCTATTTGCTGCTAGGTGAACAGGACAACAGGTGTAAGGAAACGTGTCGAAATGTTTCCACCCGCCGGGAATCGAACCCGGGCCCTCCGTGTGTGAAGCGGGAGCTTTAGCCACCAGGCCACCGGGCCACTCCAGGTATACCTTAAATTTGCATAAACTATTAATATATGCCTGTATTATGTATGTGCTCTCAGATCCATTATGTAACCGTATAGAATCATTTAGAGATTTCCTGAATAAAGCTTAAATATATGTGTAATCCATTAAATGCCCCCAAAAAGTACAAATATATGTATGATTAGAGACAAAATTATATTGAATATACATAACTAATCTAGGCAAATTACCCCAAGACACTACTAAAGTCACTTTCAGACTTCACAATGAGGCAGCCATTAATAACTCCACAACAACAGTGACAAACATTGACTGGCACACTGAGCTAGAAATCTATACAGATACTGGCGAATGTATTAATAATTTTCTAAAAAAGACCCAATACCTCTATAACAAGCACTGCCCTAAGAAACTAAACAGATGACAGCTAAGAGACTGAACAGTCCCTGGCTAACACCCAGCATCCTCAAATCCATAAATACAAAACACCTATACGAAAAACAGTACAGAATGGGTCACATAACCAGAGACCAAACAAAACGTTACTCGTTAGTCTTAACCAGCCTGATAAGAAGGGCTAAAAAATTGTATTATGAGAACAGATTATCCAACTTACGAGGTGATATAAAAAAGACCTGGAAAACTCTATCAGAAATTCTAGGAACAAAAAAGATATCACGAAATCGTGCAGTTGAACTAACAAAACCTGATGAACCCCAACTCCCACCAACTGAAACAGCAAACAGACTCAATAATTTCTCCACTATAGGACAAAACCTTGTCAATAAAATCCCAAGCTCAGATACCCCACCCAATGACTACCTCACTGGCAACTACCCGAACACACTGTTCCTAGCTCCGACTAATCCTACTGAAGTCTCCCTTATTATCAACGCACTGAAAAACAAGTCAGGAGATTTATATACCTTACCACCTTTATATACAAAAGAGCGTCACAAGTGCTATCACCAATCATCGCAACACTTTAACAAATCCATCGAATCCTCTACCTTCCCTACAGTTCTCAAAATAGCAAGGGTCACCCCGATACATAAAGGAGGAGATCAAACAGACCTGAATAACTATAGGCCAATATCCAACTTACATCCTCTCTTTAAAATCTTCGAAAAATTAATTCTTAAGCGAATCTATTCCTACCTCATCTCCCACAACATACTCAACCCCTGTCAGTTTGGGTTCAGGCCTAATAAAAATACGAACGATGCTATTATACTGCACTAGAGAAAAAAGAAGTCCCACTGGGGATCTTCATTGACTTACGTAAAGCTTTTGATACAGTTGACCATGACTTGCTCCACGTAAAATTGTCACACTATGGTATAAGAGGGCACTCCCTCAACTACCTCAAGTCTTACCTCAGCAACAGAAGCCAATATGTGTACGCAAATGGGGCAAGCTCTTCCGCACAACCAATTACAGTTGGTGTCCCACAGGGAAGTGTCCTTGGCCCTCTTCTCTCTCTCCTATACATAAATGACCTACCACCCACACTATTTGCAGATGACACTACATACGTCTACTCTCACCCGAGCCCAGTCATGCTAGCCAATACTGTAAATTACAGAAAATATCAACCTGGATGAGGACTAACAAACTTACACTAAACATTGACAAAACCTACTTCATTCAGTTTGGTAACAGAGCTACAGATGTCCCTCTTAACATAACGATAAACGGATCACCTATCACAAAGCTAACAGAGGGAAAATTCTTAGGAATCCACCTCGATAATAGACTCAAACTTCAAACACATATACAACAAATTTCTAAGAAAATTTCCAAGACCGTAGGCATACTATCGAAGATACGGTACTATGTTCCACAGTCAGCCCTCCTGGCCCTTTATCACTCTCTTATTTACCCCTATCTCACCTATGGAATTTGTGCATGGGGCTCAACAACAATTAACCATCTCAGACCACTAATTACCCAACAAAAGGCTGCAGTTAGAATGATAACAAATTCTCACTACAGGCAGCACACTCCACCAATATTCAATACACTAAACCTACTCACCATACAAAACATCCATACTTATTATTGCACTTATTACATACATAGAACACTTAACTCTGATATTAACCCTCCCCTCAAACATCTCCTTGCCAACCTCAACAGAACACATGACCATAACACAATGCACAGATCACTCTTTGATGTTCCTCGTGTCCATCTCACACTATGCAAAAACTCAATGCACATAAAAGGCCCTAAAATCTGGAATTAATTACCTGTAAATATAAAAGAAACACTGTTTATAAATTCAAGTCTCTTCTCAAAGATCACTTACTCAACAACAACTAAATAAATACTGAATACTGTGACCCAATCAAACTTTGTTACTTATAGTTACATTACCTAACTGAATGCTCATCAACACAGTAAATAACCATATGACCTGTCTTTGTAATACTCACTTGTGTTTAATTGTTATCTGTTTACAATAATGTTTTACCACTGAGTTCATTACCTTTGTAAATTGTGAGTTCATTACCTTTGTAAATTGTGAGTTCATTACCTTTGTAAATTGTGAGTTCATTACCTTTGTAAATTGTGAGTTCATTACCTTTGTAAATTGTGAGTTCATTACCTTTGTAAATTGTGAGTTCATTACCTCTGTAAATTGTGAGTTCATTACCTTTGTAAATTGTGAGTTCATTACCTTTGTAAATTGGGAGTTCATTACCTTTGTAAATTGTGAGTTCATTACCTTTGTAAATTGTGAGTTCATTACCTTTGTAAATTGTGAGTTCATTACCTTTGTAAATTGTGAGTTCATTACCTTTGTAAATTGTGAGTTCATTACCTTTGTAAATTGTGAGTTCATTACCTTTGTAAATTGTGAGTTCATTACCTTTGTAAATTGTGAGTTCATTACCTTTGTAAATTGTGAGTTCATTACCTTTGTAAATTGTGAGTTCATTACCTCTGTAAATTGTGAGTTCATTACCTTTGTAAATTGTGAGTTTCATTACCTTTGTAAATTGGGAGTTCATTACCTTTGTAAATTGTGAGTTCATTACCTTTGTAAATTGTGAGTTCATTACCTTTGTAAATTGTGAGTTCATTACCTTTGTAAATTGTGAGTTCATTACCTTTGTAAATTGTGAGTTCATTACCTTTGTAAATTGTGAGTTCATTACCTTTTTTAAATTGTGAGTTCATTACATTTGTAAATTGTGAGTTCATTACCTTTGTAAATTGGGAGTTCATTACCTTTGTAAATTGTGAGTTCATTACCTTTGTAAATTGTGAGTTCATTACCTTTGTAAATTGTGAGTTCATTACCTTTGTAAATTGTGAGTTCATTACCTTTGTAAATTGTGAGTTCATTACCTTTGTAAATTGTGAGTTCATTACCTTTGTAAATTGTGAGTTCATTACCTCTGTAACTTGCTCAGCTATCACAACTTTGGAGTCCAGTCCCTGGACCAATTATGTACCTCTGTAATCTTTTGACTACCGCCCACAGGATGGGTATGTGGTGACTACCACCCACAGGATGGGTATGGGGTGACTACCACCCACAGGATGGGTATGTGGTGACTACCGCCCACAGGATGGGTATGTGGTGACTACCCCCCAAACAGGATGGGTATGTGGTGACTACCCCCACAGGATGGGTATGTGGTGACTACCGCCCACAGGATGGATATGTGGTGACTACCGCCCACAGGATGGGTATGTGGTGACTACCACCCACAGGATGGGTATGTGGTGACTACCGCCCACAGGATGGATATGTGGTGACTACCGCCCACAGGATGGGTATGTGGTGACTACCGCCCACAGGATGGGTATGTGGTGACTACCACCCACAGGATGGGTATGTGGTGACTACCGCCCACAGGATGGGTATGTGGTGACTACCGCCCACAGGATGGGTATGTGGTGA